GGAAGTAACATCAATGATGGTGTTTCAACTTGAATGGTGGCACTTGGGATATGTTGGAGCTCATGGCTAGCATCTAATTGATGATGTCACTTAATATGTTGGTACAAGCTCTTGGTAAGTTAGATACGAATAAAAACTAGTGGCGAAACCTTGAGCCATATTGTGGAAAAAACTTAATTTCTTACTGGAAGGAGTATTAGGCAGTTTGGTGGCGTTGGTGTCAACTTTGACATCTTACACCAAAGGAGAATAAATAAATACAATTGTAATGGCAACACAAGAGGGAATGTTAAAGAGGATCTGGGTTTGTAAAGAAAGCATAAGATGATGCAATAAAGGAGAAGGATGAAGGAAATATCTTAAAAACATAATCATGATGTCAAGTAACAATAGTAGGTTGGATAACACTATATGGAACACAAGCAGGAAAGAGTTGTAGAAGGGATTAGGGGTATTAAAAAAGGATGAGGGGATTTGTGGATTGCAAAAAATCCCGAACCTTGATCTTTTAAAGCATTAAATTGGCATTTATCATTTCATTCTTGAAGATACTCAATCGAGGGAAAACCATTCTCATATGTCACAGTGACGGTTTCACTTCATCATTGGAATTTTGATTCTAGGGAATCCCAATGTTTTTATCGTTGAAGAACTATATAGATAAACTGTATGCTGTGTCACAACAACAATGCACTTGTACTTCATCATTCTAACTTTGATTTTAGGGAATCCCAATGTTATTAGCAATGAGGAACTACGTAGTCAAAATTGACCCCCCTCTTGCCAATATGGGTTTGTGGAAGCGGTTGATATTTGTAGGTTTGTGAGGTTGATTGTGGAGTTACTTTTTGACTTCAAGTTAACAATACAACAAAATCATTGCTTCTTGGCTACCCTCTAAAGTTAACCCTTTGTAGAGTAAGCAAAAAGTAATTCACAAAGTTCATATATTATTATGATAAGCCCAATTTTTGGGATGTTTGTAAAAATCATATCTTTGTTTTTATAGTAACATCAACCATTTTGGCTTTGGTAAATAATGTAGTTGAATCAGAAAATTTTAGTTGTCTAATTGAAACAATCAACATAAGCAAGGCACTCTTAGGAAAGATAATAGGATAAAAAAATCATTTGTACTGCATGCAAAAGTACCAATGCACACACTGCTCTTATCTTTGAAGGCGTCCAACATTTAACATTTAGGTGAAGCATCATGGAAGGTACCAATCAGAATTTCTAGAAGTTACTATAAGTATATATACTTAATGTCTATTATCAAAATTATTTTTAAGTTATTTCGTTCATAAACATCAACAAGCATGGTAGTGATGTAGGATGTTTTAGGGTCTATGGTTACTAATGAAGTAATGATTTAGAATGATCTAAGCAAATCATGTAGACACATTAATGCAAATTTGAATATATATGTGCATTGAAAATGCAATACATGCGCATTGGGACAAGAAAATTAACAGCTGGAGAATAGATTTTAATTTAGTAAATTTTTATTAACTTTTTTTTTTAATTTTAGTTAATTTTAATATGCGTTTGGGATTTTTGTTTTAGTTTTATCAAAAGCATGCTATTAAGTTGATCCCTACAGAGCCAGGTTATGTTATGTAATTTCTATGCTAGTTTGGTTTGGTTCTCTATTTTGGGCTGTAATTATAATAATCTAGTTATCGGGATGATCCATCTTCTATGGATTGGTCTGTATATAGACACATGCATGCGCCTATAACTTCAATTCAAAGACCTCTTCATGCCCTAACTACCATTGGTATCCTCACATCTAACAATGTCCTACCTTTCATTGTGTTTGTCTATTTGTATATGGGTCTTGCAGTTTTTATTGACGCACTAGTGAACCATCCCAAAATAATGCTGGATATGATCTATGTTTTGAATATTGTGGCTAGTTCTAGATTGCCAACTTTGGTCTCTTTTATCTTTGTTAATTGAGTTGAGGTTTTGTGATTATAAATACAAGAATACTGAGGTATATAAAATTAATTCCAATAATAATTTCTTTGAATATTTTATTTACTCTTTATGCTTGAGTATTGGTTGGATGTGAATCTAAACGTTGTTTTTCATTCATCTCCTTGCATTCTTACTTGATATAACTTCTCAAATCCAATTCTTAAAATATTATAATTCCTATTATCATATCTAACACATTATCCAATTTAGATATTGAAAATTGATCTTTAATGGTTATCTTATGAATTGAATTCTATCACATATACACTAATTTCTTTCTTAGATGTACGAAATATCAAAACTGCATCAGGTTTTGAACTCTCACAAATTCTATTTTAAGCACCTTTTAAGCTTCAACTCAGGATGGCTTGTACTTAAAGGCTCGCATAAGATAATAATTAAAGATATAATTATAAGCTTTCGTGAATGGTTGAAGGAGATTAAGGGTTCGTTTGGGACAACTTTCTTGTTGCTTTGCTTTTCAAATCTCAAATACAATTCTGTTTGGCTATTGTTTTCTTGTTGATTTCTCATTGAGGAATTTCTGTGGTGGAAAATTACTTTTTATAAAAAGAGTTGCTCTGTGTGGGAGCTTTAAGAAAGCAGCTACTTAATTTTTTAAAAAATAACTTATTTATAATATCCATAGCATATTTAAAAAAATTTCTTTCCCACAATAGCATTACAATTACTTTTACAAAACATTATAGGCATCTGATAGACACATGCATGCGCCTATAACTTCAATTCAAAGACCTCTTCATGCCCTAACTACCATTGGTATCCTCACATCTAACTATGTCCTACCTTTCATTGTGTTTGTCTATTTGTATATGGGTCTTGCAGTTTTTATTGACGCACTAGTGAACCATCCCAAAATAATGCTGGATATGATCTATGTTTTGAATATTGTGGCTAGTTCTAGATTGCCAACTTTGGTCTCTTTTATCTTTGTTAATTGAGTTGAGGTTTTGTGATTATAAATACAAGAATACTGAGGTATATAAAATTAATTCCAATAATAATTTCTTTGAATATTTTATTTACTCATTATGCTTGAGTATTGGTTGGATGTGAATCTAAACATTGTTTTTCATTCATCTCCTTGCATTCTTACTTGATATAACTTCTCAAATCCAATTCTTAAAATATTATAATTCCTATTATCATATCTAACACATTATCCAATTTAGATATTGAAAATTGATCTTTAATGGTTATCTTATGAATTGAATTCTATCACATATACACTAATTTCTTTCTTAGATGTACGAAATATCAAAACTGCATCAGGTTTTGAACTCTCACAAATTCTATTTTAAGCACCTTTTAAGCTTCAACTAAGGATGGCTTGTACTTAAAGGCTCGCATAAGATAAGAATTAAAGATATAATTATAAGCTTTGGTGAATGGTTGAAGGAGATTAAGGGTCCGTTTGGGACAACTTTTTTGTTGCTTTGCTTTTCAAATATCAAATACAATTCTGTTTGGCTATTGTTTTCTTGTTGATTTCTCATCGAGGAATTTCTGTGATGGAAAATTACTTTTTATAAAAAGAGTTGCTCTGTGGGGGAGCTTTAAGAAAGCAACTGCTTAATTTTTTAAAAAATAACTTATTTATAATATCCATAGCATATTTTAAAAAAGTTTCTTTCCCACAATAGCATTACAATTACTTTTACAAAACATTATAGTCATTCCAAACAGACCCTAAAAGAGAGAATGAAAACCATTAGATAATGTTATAAAGATATATATTAGCGGGCGATGGCTTCTCACTACTCTTGCTTTGCTTGTCCTTCTTCTTCCTTCATAGTTCCTTCTTTTTTACAAAAGAGTAGCTCATGTGTTGCAACTTTAAGAAAGCAGCTACTCGATTTTTTTAAAAAACAACTTATTTATATTATCGATAGCATCTTTTAAAAAAGTTACTTTCTCACAATAGCTTCACAATTACTTTTACAAAACTCTACAACCGTCACAAACCAACCCCTAAGAGAGAATGAAATCTATTGGATAATGTTATAAAAACATATATATTATTAGTGGATGATGGCTTCTCAGTTTTATTGCTTTGCTTAACCTTCTATCTTCTTAGTTTTCTTCTTGCTTATCGTGTGCATCATTGCAACTCATGTAATTATCCATTTTTTTTTATACAACATGATTTAGTTATCTCTATGTAGGCTATGTGATATGATTTGAGGATCAAATCAGCACCAAATAGTGAAAAATAACCACCAAACTCAAGAGAAAACAACAATGGTATGCAAGAACAACACTATAAAGCTGAAATAGCAATCTTCAATCGAAGAAACACAATATACAATTGATTCACTATTCAAGAGGTGAATCGGCTCTCCCCTAATTTCCTAGAAGCAACTAGGAACCTAAAATCACCTAAGAAATAACTTCAGAAAATTTTCGCATAATCCCTCCCACATACAAACTTCCCCACTTAAAAGCAACCCTAATCCCACCATAAATGCATCTCACACTTCCTCCAATGATCTCCCCTTAAACTTTTCCCACCATAAATGCACCTCACATTTCCTCCGGTGATCTCCCCTTGAACTCTTTACTCCTATTGGTCTGAAATGAGGTGTTAGGACCCACAAAGCTGAAAGGGTGAGGTCCTCAGCCTTATCACTATGTCCGTCCAAGTATTTCTGCCACTTTTCTAGGTTTGATCAATCCTTGTGGTGTTGCGTGGTCTTCATTTCATCATGTGGCTTTATCTAATCTAGTTTATGTTAGCTTACTTTTGATGCACCATCTTGATTCACTTAACCTAACAAGTTGGTTAGTCAAATCCAATGTCAAGCGAGCCTTCTGCATTAGTTTTATGCTAAAATTTACTTCGCAAATATACCATAACTATAGAATCTCTAGCAAAATCTTTCATTGGAAGATTGTTCTCATCTCTTCCAAAAGATTTTAGTTGTTGTGCTTTATCTCTGCTCTAATTATCTAATTTTCTTGATAGAATCTTCTCTAATTTAGTTTTTCGTTAGCAGGCACAAGACAAGGCTACATATTGGACAGTTGGTGAAGGACACCTCAGCAAAACTTAAAGAAGCCAGCGAAACCAATCATCATGCAGAAGTTAGCGTGAGTACTCGTAAAGTTATTTATTTTCAACTTCTGCATTGTCAGTCTTTTCTTATATACTCATTACTTTAATTATCCCTCAGTTTTATTCTGTTTTTAATCTTATTTTGGGCGGGATACCTTTGTATTCCCATGAAAATTATTCATCGCATTAAATAGTTAACTATTGAATATAATGTTGGCTTAACAATTTAGTGAAGGCGTTTTAAGATTGTTACATCATAACTTTGATATGCTTACTTCCTCGTTGAAGCCCAAATAGAAGTTGTAGATAGCCTAATTAAAATTCTTTGCAGTGTTGTTTCTTTTGCATATCATCAGTAGAAACAGCTGCGACAGTCTTTATACCAACCATTTCCTGTCAACCTATGAACATTTATTCTTTACTCATTTACATTCAAATAAGCACTTGCGCGTCTCATTTTAATCCTAAGGCATTACCTTGTTTTGTTTTTTTCCACCATCTGGTTGTTTTATGTCCTCATACCATCAGAACAAATTTTCTATTTCTTTTTCCTCCACAAATTCTAATTATATGGTTTCTCAAATGGAGTCATTGTTCATTTATTTTCTTTTGTGCGTAAACAAAGGCACTTAGCCCTTTTTTTTTCATATATTAGTATCACCTCATTCTCTTTGCTTAAATGCTGAAATGACAGCAAAGCAAGAAGATCGCTGATGCAAAGCTTGCAAAAGATTTCCAAGCGGTGCTGAAAGAGTTTCAGAAAGTTCAAAAGCTTGCAGCTGAGAGAGAAACAGCATATACACCCTTTATACGCGAAGCAGTTCTTCCTTCAAGGTCTGGATCGTTTGCTTTTCACGTAGGCAGTTCTCAAGCTTAACTGAATTTTGTAGCTTATATTTATATCTGTTAGTGTAATAGTTATCAGCAGCAAGATGACATTTACTGGATGTTGTCTTAGATACTAATTCTAATAGTCTATCGTGTTTAAAGTTGTATTATATTAGTTGATGCATGTGTTGACCTCAATACTAATGTCGGGGTCAAGTCGACTCACACGGTGAGTTTCAAAAGTGAAAGAGTGCGGCGTCGTGCATAACTATCCCGACAACACCTGTTGGCCGAAAATTCAAATAGCCTAAATAGTCTTTGTTCTCAAAACGGACAGCGTCAGCTCGTCCGAAGCAACATATATAGCTAAGATCAACGTCGATGTTGATATGGATTGTCGTTCAACAAAATTTTAAATTTTGTATGCACGTGAATTGAGGATGCATTGACGTGCACGAACAACGACGATATGAAGACTGAGTTGATGCACGATTAATAAACATAATAATAACTTGTATCAATTTTTATTTAAAATTAATTACAAAATAATAAAAAATAGATGAAACTAAAAAAAAATCTAAATAATTATATTCCTAAACTACCCTCCCTCACATAACATGCTCCCTCATACACTCACGGCTCACTCGTGACTCTAGTCACGTACATGAAGAAAATTCATATATTAAAATACATTCTCTCGGTTTCAATATTTCTACGACAACTTCAAAAATTTTGAGCTGAACTCGATCCTTTGTTAGCAAGCAAACCAAGTTGATAAGGTTAAACTAATGAAATGACAATACCTATAAATCCTGAATGATAGATGTGTTGAAAACTAATCTCAACCAAAGAGGATCATGCTTTTTAAATGCCTCCCAAACTTATGAAAATACAAATATTTAACGTGATTTCAAATTCATCTCGATGATGAACATATTAAAAGTTAATATCAACCGGAAGGTTATTTATATTTTAAATGCCCATAAATCTTAAAATTAATCTTTAAATGGGCTCTAATTTTAATAAAAGTTCAAGATGAAATAAATAACCCAATAACTTAAAATAAAAATCTATCCACTCTTTATAACAGTTTGTCGATGAGGATAAATTTGGAAATTAATATTCATTGGAGCGTAAACTCAAAAGTATAGTGCACTTATATTTCACCAACAAGAAATATTTCCTGCGCGTTTTTCGATCGTATTGTGCAAATATATTCATGACATATAAGTGCACTATACAAGAGCATTGAACAACATGTATGCATACCATTGGCAATGAAAGTGCAATTTATGCAAATGCATTAGTAGATATATATCATACTAATATGTAAATGCATAACGTAAAATGTACTGAAAAGTATGCATCCGCATGGGCCTCGACGAGCGTGACATATATACATGTGATTTCTGAGGATGCTACGCAGATAAGCAATCATATATGAATTTTAAATATACTGCTCTAAAAGTGTGCAAACATACATTATACAAGTGTACAATATAGCACACATATTATTTAAAATAAAATTTAAATAAATCGTATGTGCTCTGATAAGTGTTTACGCTCCTAAACCCTTACCTGAGAATGTTGTGCGGGTCAAAAGTGAATTTAATTTTATGTTCGATCCTTCTCTTCGAATGGACCGAAGTTGACACAACTTGAACCAACGAATAAATATACGGTCATAGTGTCTATAGTAGATCGGGTTTAACTCCTAATTTTTGGATTTATGGGTACTATCATTTATATTGGTAACATGTTCAACTCGCTAACATCTATGATGTTGGGAAGGAATGTTAGATCTTCGCATGCACTAGTTATTAAAAGGATGAATTGTCAGATAACTCTGTTTGGTTGATATCTTTCCAAGGCCACCGATCGCCCATAACAATAGCATAGCCACCCATGTCGCATGCTAATGAAGTACTCGACAACCTGTAAGGAGCGCCCTTTAAAGATTAGAGTATGCTTGTCATGGCGATCGGTGTCATCGACAATGTCCACTCCCATCAAGTTGTTTGGCTGACTGTCGAGCACCAGTTGATGCACTAAACGGAAATGGTAGGCGACGAGGTGCAAGGTGAAGAAGAAGAACTGCACACCCTCTTTCTCCAGTGTGGATGAATCCCCCAGAAGTTGCATGATGATAGTGAATCCCCTATTCGAGAAATATGAGGGATATACAAACAACCAAATGTTCTCTGGATGTGGATCTAAGCATAGATGTAATGTCAAGAGTTGCATCATGCCCATCGAGTGCAGGGTTCTCTGAAATGGTTTTGAATGTTCTGAAAATCTTGTTGAGAATCACGAGCAAGAGAAATACATTCTCCGTGTGACAAAAGGTTGGCCGCTAACAAAGTATTACACCGAATGGCGCCTCCTTTTTCGAGGAGGACAAATGTACACAGTCAGCAAATTAAAAATCCAACATGGAATAATTCTTTGCTCATACTTGGAAGAGCAGGAGACATGTATACTATATTAGTGGATGGTTCTACAAGATCTTTTGAAAGGTATCTTGCAGATGAATAGAGGGTTGACTGAGCTCCTCCTTCTGAATGAAGCTGTAGATCCATATGTCTAGAGGGATAGTGGCCTGGGAGCGCATCGATAGCTTGGCCGCTTTACAAACTCGTTGAGTAGCTTAATGCATTTGAAAGCACTACTCGCAGAATCAGTTCTCCCTCCTACTCCCGTTCGAGGAAGGCCTCCTACGGAATAGTTCCTCATATGGAGGAATACATTCTTTATATCAATGTCCAAAAAACGGTTGGCCAAAAACGTATTGCAGCTCTCATAGCATAATTGTCAGCTCCTTAGGGCCCACCCAACAAGTATTCCTTGATGGTCCCAAAATTCTACTACTATTTTTATCCAATAATGGGGGATACTCTCAAAGAAAAACAATGAAGCATATACGAACTTGCATATATCTGCTTCTTTCAAGATATTCTTGTGAGCTTTTAAGATATACCTTGCGCAGGGAACATATTTGCGCGCAGGTTCGGAGAAATGTCCCACTGGAGAATCCCTAGGCAACTCATGCGTAGCAGATTGCAACTAGTGGTGGCTCGGCAACCTTGATTGTCCAACTTGCTCGATGTGTCGGCAGTCGGCTCCAAAATATCACACATACCAAAGCTCACATGAACACGACATTGCTCTTTAGTGGATTATATTACATACACTTCAATTTGATGGTAGCCAGGCCTCCATTCGCAAAACGGACAGCACCAATGTGTCCGAAGCAACATAAATAATTAATATCGACACTCATATTAATTGAGATCGTCGATCGGTAAAAAATTAAATTTCATGCGTGCAAATCAAGGCAGTATTGATGCATGTGAATGACGACGACATGGAGATTGATTTGATGCACTATTAATAAAAAACATAATAACTCATATCAATTCTTTTAAAATTAATTACAAAATAATAAAAAAGAGATGAAATTAAAAAGAATCTAAATAATTATATTCCTAAACTACCCCCATCACATAAAACACTACCTCATTCACTCATGGTTCACTCACAACTCCACTCACGCACACGCATGCCCGACCCTCTCTCCTGCTCTCAGCTCTCTCTCCGTCGCATGTCCTACCTGTTGCCTGCAACTCCCACCACTGCCACCAAGTTAATATACTTTCTTCTTCTTCTTCTCTTCTTCTTTGTCTTCATCTTTCCTTCTTTCTTCTTCTTTCATTTTTTTTTCCTTTCTACTTCATCTTTTCTTCTCTTTTTCTTCCTCTTCTTCTTCTTCTCATTCCCACCTTTTTCTACTTCTTCCTCATCATCCTCTTTCCTAAACCTAACACTAAGCTAACCCTAATTTGTCTCTACCTCTACATCCTTCAAATCACAATGCTCCTTCACAAAAAATCTTCCTCAACTCCACCAAAAAGCCCCATCATCTTTCACTTTCTCTCTCTATATCTAAAGAGAGAAAATTCATAATTTCTCTTTTCAAACACCTCATTCTTCATCTCAAACACCTCCCACTCTCATTGCTTCATTTCCCTAACTAGAGAGAAAAAAGGACTCACACTTGGTCTGATGATCCCCGCCTCCAACATCCCCCGGATTAGCTTCTCAATCTCGTCCTTCTGAATCTATGGCTAGTGGTATAGCGGGACACTAATCGGTGACACCCCCTCCCTCAAGGCCATGGCGTGCTTGTCCCCTTGGGAGTGGTAAACCCTGTGGTGGCTGAAAGACCTCACTGAACTGTTGTATTAGTGGCTATACTGAGTCAGAAATGTCTCCCTCCTCCATCCTAATCCCCTCAACATGCTGCAGCTAAACCAAAAATCCTCATCCTGGCGTGTACTTTTCATCACATTTGAGACATAACCCCCTTGCCTGTTTATCCTACACTTCCGCTTCCACCATTGAGTTGGTCCTTACACCTCTCTTGAATAGAGGATCGCTTGTATCTTGGTATTTTCTGGTTCCTTTCATCAAATAATATAAAATATCTACTGTTTTATAGTTTTGCTTGGAGTTTTGTGGAGATTTCTCGCTGATTTTTCAAAATTGATAATTTTTGCTTGAAAACTTGAGTGCCAGGCTTTCCTTTCATTTCACTGCCATGTAAAGTTTTAGTTAATTTGTGGGAGTAATGATGTAGATCCAAATAACAACTGAAGCTTTATGCAGGTGGCAACATTTCTGCATTCATTTTTATTCATCCTGTCTAATATTCTAAATATGTAGTGCCATGTTTGTGCAGCTACACTGCAAGTGAAGCTGATATTGGTTCTGAAAAAACACCAGAGGAGCGTGCTCTGTTAGTGGAATCTAAAAGGTGTGAGAGTATTTCATGTTCTTCATTTGTTATATATGCTGATGATTATATTCCTGAAATTACTATTATAAATTGATCTTATATGCATCAAAATTGTTTTCCCCTGGCATTCAGATCAATTTGACCTCGCATGACTTGCACTTTGGGCATTATTACAAAAATGAATGTAGAAACTCAGCTCACACCTTTCAAACCATGCTAACGAGGCATGACATTTCCCTTGATACAGCCACGCAGATTACTGCTGATCATAATTTCCTAAAATATGGCCTTTGAACTAATTGTGCAATTGTTTTTTCCTTGGAATATTCTGTTATTCTTTTCATGCAACTTAGCTATGCATGAATCTTAATTTTATTTAAATTATGTTCAACTTCTGCTGGCATAATTATTACTAGAACTATATGCTTGCGCACACAAAAGAAAATATTATGTCGTATACAAATCTGTTAGTTTTATTTAGGAGAAAGTATTAGCCTTTTGTAGGTAGAATGATTTCATTGGTTTGTCTAAGCATGCTTTGAACTGCTGTAACTATTCATTTGTCTCCACCTGTAACTGAAAGTTATTGTAGTCTGAATTTGTTGAAATTATAATATGTTGATTGGATGCATTCAAGAACTTTTTTGACCATCATGAATTATTCGGTACTTCAGGCAGGAGGTATTGCTATTGGATAACGAGATTGCTTTCAATGAAGCTATCATCGAGGAGCGACAGCTAGGCATACAGGAGATTCAACAGCAAATTGGTGAGGTGAATGAGATATTCAAAGATCTTGCAGTGTTGGTTCATGATCAAGGAGTTATGATTGGTGAGTTATTCTTCTTCGATTCTATCCTTATTGATTCTTTTGTAGTTTGCTAACCATCATTAATAATTTGCAGATGATATCGACTCCAATATTGACAACTCCCGTGCGGCTACTGCACAAGCAAAAACTCAATTAACCAAAGCATCGAAGACACAGAAATCAAACTCATCTCTGGTACAACACATGATGTTCTTCTCACCAATATCCTCATTTATAATCGTTTTTTTTTTTTTCTAAAGAATATGATAATTGGTTCTGCAGGGCTGCTTGCTATTGGTGATATTTGGGGTTGTCCTACTCATATTAATCATAGTCCTGGCTGCTTGATGGGGTTAAAATTGATGTGATGTGATATGATCCAATGCTGCTTGATATATGGCATCGGTTGTCTGGTGTGAAATTAGCCTGGTTGCAAGGTTATGTGGTTTTCTTGATTTCTTTAGTGCCTTACTGCCTTGATGTTTGCGTTGAGATTGTTTACCCGTGTGAGTAATTAAAATTGAGCCCATATTACGTTTGTTAATATCCATAAAATAAATAATTTTCAGATTTCAACACACAAGATACAACTAGCTTAATTATCCATGAATGATGGTTGTCCACAGTTGATGGGATCATTGATTCCTCCCATATTAGGATTCAGACGGTTACCATGACAGATTGGCCAAAATGGATGCTTTTACTTCCTAAAATAATATTCCGATTCAATATTTGTAAAGTGAAGCCGCCTCGTCCCCGCCCAATTTTTTGAGAGATGGTTATGTAAATTGTTCTGTTCGAGTTGCAGAGAGAGCTTTTCAGGCCATCTGATTTTCCTTGTTGAAATTTTGACTAGAGCGGTTGTAGTTGTCTTCTTGCGTCTCAACAAGTGATTGAATTATGGTTAGCTTTTCAGTGGAGCTCATGATATAATTCTGCTGAAAAATAAGCCTTTCGTAGGCTTACAACCCTTGGAGGATGTCCTAAATTACACAAGCTGCGCCACTCAATTATAATGACATTTAAAATAATAATAATAAAGAGAATTCATGTACTTTCACGCACCTAACTTATTTAATCATTACATAGAAGAAACTAACAATTTTCATGTTTGTATCCTACTGCATACTTGATAATAATTAAATTGAATGAATTTATTACCAAAAAACCTCTAATATGTAAATATACTTGTTTATTAAATGCTGTAGAAAATAAAACTACATTGCAAAAGATGAGAGATTAAACTAAAGGTTGGATAGTGCTATTGCCGTTTCATCTGGAATCGTAAGGCATTAACTACAATAAGCAAATAAAGGTTGAAATAAATAAATACCGCACTACATTTATTATTCGTCAAATACATCAAAATTTCCATTTCCACAAAATACGCTGTAACTGCGAACAACCTAACCATCCGAACTCTTTTTTTAGAAGGTTGAATACAAAACCAATGGAATGCTTGCTGTTTCCTATTTTAAAATTCGAACGCGAGAGATCTGTAAATGTTTAATAAAATAGCAGCCATCCGCTACATGGTTGTCAGTGCAATAAAAAATTAAAAAAAAAAAGTTAAAATTTCTGAATAAGGCATTATGTAATACAAGGATTTAGAGACAGAAGCAGTAGTTAACAAAACCAATTAAGAGACAACAACATGCATAGACGCAGTAAAACGCAACTTTGCCAGAGAGAAACTTAAAAAATCAACAACGAGCGAACGGGGGGGACAGGAGGAATTTAGCCGACCACCTTCCTAGAATAGCGCCTGGCAGAGGGTACCTCATATGAACGCGTCAGGAAATCAGTGTGGCTATGCCAACCCCCAGCCTTCAACGATGGGGGTGGTGGAGGAGGCCTTGCACCACCAGATGCTGATCCTGTTCCTGATCCAACGCTCAGCTTTGCTAGCTTTTCCGCCACTTCATCATCTGATGCAGACGCCTTGCTCGATGATCTCCTCATTGTATTAGTAAAATTGCGGGGGAGCACTGACCTCGCCTCATCCGGTATCCTCTGCATGCTCTTCTTGCTTATTATTATATTCTCCCCCACTGACCTCAACAAACCTTGGTTTTGCCTTGCTGGTGGCTGGTATCGTGGATGCTTCAGACTATTCTTCAATTTCCCACTCTTCTCAGCTTCCTGCTGATCCATGGAGAGCTTTCGCTGCACCCCCCCTAAGCCAGATATTAAAAAAACAAACAAACAACCGTAAGTAATCAATCTTTCAGAGTCCGGATTAAAGTTCAAGCATTCATAATTGAAAAGATCTTACCCAACAGAACCTGTTAGGTAAATGAATCAAAATAATACAACATGAAAAACATAGATAGATAAAAAGTACCTGACTTGAGAGAGCAATTTATCTTAGCACGGAGCACATTGCTTGCAGGCTTGTTGCTTGACAGAGCTCCAGTTGAATACCTTCTACCACTCTTCTGCTCCAACGAACCTTTACTTCCAACTGACAAATTTTACCAAAAAACAAATTGCATCAAAACTCCGCTGTACTGCGAAAAAATGTACAACAACAAATATAAACAAACCAGATGGAGGAGTATTTGGAACCCTCGGACGAAGAGATGGAGGAACATAATAGGAGGCCTGACAGATTGAATAATTAAATCAATATTAAGAGCCGTATGTCTAAAAGACTGAAAGAACATTTATACCATGAAGAACCATAAAGCTTCTCACCTGGAAAAAAGGATGTTGGAGGACCTCTGCTGCCTTTGGTCTTTTGGTGGGGTCCCACGCGCAGAGAGACTGCACATGTATATGAAAGAGATTAATCTTGAAAATCTAAATCATGGTTTTCACACTACAGTTCGTAAAACTTCATTTATTTAAAAAAAGGTATTTTAACTAGTCTATACCTTAATAAGATTGACTGCATTCTCACTGGCTGAGGGGATTAGCTCTGCCAAATTGGCACAAGGAACCTGCCATGGTGTATGCAAGACAATATAGTTCATTCAATTTGGATAACTTGAGTCGCTTGTGGAACTTAATAATTAAACAATACAAACTAAAGACAACATTAAAAAGTAAATACTCAGGAATCAATCAGCGAATTTTTAAATAAAGGACCCATGCCACTCTAATGTACTCTTCCTTCACTACGGGAAAACCAAGCCAACTTATATGAAACATATATATACAAAAAGAGTAAAATAAAATAAAATACTAAAAAACAATAAAAAAATAACTAATGAATGAACAATCCGTAATTCTATTACTGAAGTGTTTTTAATTCCTTCAGCAATGCATCATAACAAAACAAACTCGATTTGACTGTTCAAATCAAATTTGGCAAGGATACTTAAAAAAAGCCAAAAAAAAAAATAGACCCGGCTTCAAGAAATAGCAGAGATATTTGCTACTACTGCTTAAGATTGGGGAAAATATTAAAAATTACCACAGCAACAACATCGCAGGCACAACTATCAATTTATATTAACAAACACTTCCTAATTTCTTACCGTACTAATAGTACAATCTCTAGCACCCTACAGCTGAATTTAATTAAGGCTCTACCTCATGCCTTCAGTAAAATTTAAGTTAACGTTAAGAAATTAAGACAGCACTATCTTTATACCCAACTATACCCCTACATATATTGATCGCAATGCACTTTTGGCAATATCAAGAACTATTATCTAGCGGACGGTCAAATCAACATTGGTCAGAAAAGTGATAAAATGGGAAGAATGCCCATAATGAAGCAATTAGTCTTGTTAAAGTCACAATCAAAAATACATTTAAAACCGAAATGAAAAACAGAATGAAAAAGGTTATTGCTATAAACACGTTCAGTTAACTGTTTCACCAAAAGGATATCCAAAATTCACAGATCGTCATCATCATCATTGGCCTTCTCCCAGAGTATCTGGGGTCGATTTTCAAAATCACAGAACAAAGGCAAAACATTCAATTCAGTTCTCACTACAGTCCTGATAGAAGGTCTAATGAAAACTTAGAGAGGCTCATTACCATTAAACACTTCAGGTATCCAATAATTTTGTAGCATGCATTTAAAATAAGAATAGAAGAAAGAACCTGTGGAAACTTGTAACTCATGGCATCAGCAAGTTGGAGGCCTTCAGCCCAGGTGCCATGATCAGGGCTACCAATTACACTACAGATTTTATGAATTTCATCTGCTTCGCTGCAAAGTCCATAGAAAAAGAATCAGACCAACTTTAGATCTTAAAGCAACAGCAACATCATGGGACTACAACGATAACCCCATAATACGGCATGTGGCATGTGGTAATATAGATGTTACGTTTAGGGTTCATATTAAACAAAGGAAGACTACAAGCTTTGCATGAAATTATACAAAAGCTAAATTTTGTTATTCCTACGAGTAAAAGCCTACAGTAATGATTCTTGAACATAAAACCTTCAATAAGATAGCATGAATTATACCAATATAGGAATCAAACGTTGCAGATTTTTTAAAATAGCTTAAAATATTACACTGCTGGCACAAATTAGATCAAGAGATTACTTTGAGCCTGGAAAAAGAGGATGAAGAGTGAAAAGTTCAGCCATTATAGCACCCATCGCCCACATATCTAGAGAAAGAAAACATGAGTCCTCAGAATCATCACGTGTAAAGCAACGATGCGTACTATATATTCAACGAATATAAATCACTCACCAACTGCTGAATCATATAAAGAAGACTGCAGCAAAACTTCTGGCGCCCGATACCTAAATTATTCCGGTGCATCATTCAATAATACAACACTACAAAATAGAGAATAAGTACAAGAACAAAAACAAGAGTTTCAGTAGCACTACCAGCGAGTAGAGACATATTCTGTATATGGTGGTTGTGAGCACAATTCACGAGCAAGGCCAAAATCAGCAATCTTTATAATCTCTTTGGTGACCAATAAGTTCTCTGTAAAATTTCACCATGATCTCCATCAATATAATAAAAAGGAAGTAAACACCAGAAGGCTACAGAGGTTTTTAGGTCATGAACAAGATAAGTCCTTTCGCAATCACAAAAGAATACCAACTATAATGATTATAAATCCTTTTCGTCATATGTTGGACCATTTTCTACACAAAAAGACATTATGAACACTGGCAAATGTACCACATGTATCACTCAACCAGAATGAATCAAGTATTCATAAATTAAAACCCAATAAAGCAAATAACAACTAACAAGTAACAACCATACAAGACAATTTCCAATTGATAGCACTTGCAAGTGGGTAACCAGTCTTACGCAAAGAACTAAGCCATGCATTTGAATCACATAAATGAAAAAGAATAAAAAACCCGATGCAAATGAAAAAACATTACTGGACCCCATTATACAGTCCAAACCAAATATTAAACTACCAAGTTCCATAGGGAAAGGGATGACGAAAAATATATATAAAATGACTCAAAAGAAAGTATACGAGCAACAAAATGTATGAGGTAAATGACCGTTCATAACCATCAAACTAATTTGTAGCAAAAAATCCATGTCCAGAAAGTGGTCATTAGATTTAGATCAGGATGTCCATAAAATAGTTATTAAATTAGGATCAGTATTTCAATAGAATATTTGGGATTACTTTCTATTTTTATTTTGAGTGGAGGAGTGTGCTGATTCCTGTTTTTAAGAATAAAGTTGAAGCACAAAAGTGTGCGAATTCAAGAGGAATTAAGTTAGTGTGTCATGCTCTAAAACTTTGGGAGAGAGTTATTGAATATAAGGTTACGACGTAATCCTAATGTTTCTCAAAATCAATTTGGATTCATGTCGGGTAGGTCTACTATGAAAGCTATATATTTATTGAGAGGTTTTATGGAGAAAATAGGGAGAATAAGGAGGGTCTACAAATGATATTTAATGATTTATGGAAAGCTTAAGATAAAGTTCCAAGAGAAGTGCTATGGAGAGTTTTAGAAAAGAAAGGGGTTAATAGTGCTTATGCTCAAGCCATTTAAGGATATGCATGCAAGAGTTGTTACTTGTGTTCAAACACAAGGAGGTTGGATCAAGCAGTTGGATTACATCAAGAATCAACTTTAAGCCCATCTCTTTTTGGTTTAGTCATGGATGTTCTTACTAGACATTTGCAAGAGGATGTACCATAGTTTATACTTTTTGTTGATGATATTCTTCTTCTTGATAAGACTAGAGAGGAAGTGGAAAGTAAACTTTAATTATGGAGGTCAACCTTAGAGTCTAAAGGTTTTCGTTTGAGTAAATTTAAAATCAAATACATTGAGTGTAATTTTAGTAATAATATAACTAATGGGGGGATTGTGACTTTGGGTGATCAAGTCATTAATAAGAGTGCGCCTTTTATACATCTTCTATCTATTGTCTAAAGTGATGGTTAAGTAGATGGGAATATTATTAGTAGAATTCAAGTTGGATGGTTGAAGTAGAAGAATACATCGAGCCTGATGTGTGATAAAAAAGTACCCCTCAAACATAAGGGAAAATTCTCTAAGATGGTGGTGATACACAGATACCTGCAATGTTTTATGGTGCAAAATGTTGGTGATGCGACAAAAAAGAATACACTAAGATTATAAACTAGAAGACAACTTTTTTTCCTTAAAACATAGACAAACATAAACAAGATAACAATAGTATTAAAACAAAGACACACTACAACTTATAAGAGTGTGAGAAGAAAGATACAAGTGGAATGGAAATCATGGATAAAAGAAAAAGATAGGAGACCGAGACGAATTAGAAGAAGAAAGGTAGATGAAGATAGCTCGCAAGCTATCACAAACCTGCTGGTTATAGTGTCCAAATATTCATCCCATTCAACCATTTTTCCAGCAGCTAAAACAACCCTATATATAGGAAAAAAAGGTTCAAATGCCACATAAATGTGCTACCCAAGTAGCCAATAGAAGCCTCACAAGATAGTCCATTTAATGAGTTAATACACTTAGTATAGAAAAACATTATGGTGAAAATCGAACAGCCAGCAGTAGGAAAAAAGGGGGACATCACTATGGGAAAAACAACTAGCATAGGGAAATGAAATATGCATGGAGAACATCAACAACCATCCGAAATCTGCATGGAGAACATTAACAACCATATGAAATCTACATGCAATACATTAACAGCCAGCAAAATGGGAATCTAAATATTGCAACCAGCCATTATGGGAAGATATGGGCCAAGCCTATTAAGGAAACAATAACCCAAAGATTAAATACCCATATAACCAACAAGGAAGCAAGGAAACATTAAAAAAAAAACTAACTTTGCCTGCATCAATTCTCCCCAGGTGGAGAAATCTCATCCCCTGATGAGATTGCCTCAGAACTTCCAAAATGTTCTGATTGGGCATTTTCTGTTTCCTAAATTAAAGATTCATACTTCCTTCGGATCATCTCATTTTCTTGTTCAAACTCAAATTGAAGTAAACACCTTTTATTTTCATCTCTCTGCACATAAATACAGTAGTCTTTGAATTTTGAGAAGCTCGTTCTGTGGTGGATTAGAAGAACATGCTTGAGATAGAACCCATTTTGTTGTTGGAAATTTCTTCTCATGAATCCAAGGCATAGTTGGCTAACTTTCTTATTTGCATTCAACTTGTTGATTGTTTTGACTTTCAACCAACAAGGAAGCAAGGAAACATTAAAAAAAATCTAGCTTTGCCTACATCAATTCTCCCCAAGTAGAGAAATCTCATCCCCTAATGAGATTGCCTCAAAACTCCCAAAATGTTCTGATAGCGCATTTTCCATTTTCTGAATTAAAAAGTAATACTTCCTTTGAATCATCTCATTTTCTTGTTCAAACTCATATTGAAGTAGACACTTCTTATTTTCATCTCTCTGCACAAAAATACAATTGTTTTTGAATTTTGAGGAGCTCATTCTATAGTGGATTAGAAGAACATGCTTGAGGTGGAACCCATTTTGTTGTTGGAAATTTGTCCTAATGAATCTAAGGCATAGTTGGCTGACTTTCTTGTTTGTCTTCAACTAATTGATTGTTTTGACTTTCCGTTTTTTTTTTTTAGAAAAAGAAACTCACACAACTATATAACCTCTATGATACCAAATTGATGCAACCAAAAACACTACACTAAAATTGCAACGTATAAGACAATTTTTCTTCCTTAAAACATAGAGTCGTAGACAAACATAAACAAGATAATAATAGTATTAAAACAAAGACACACTACAACTTATAAAAGTTTGAGAAGAAAGATACAAGTAGAATGAAAATCATGGATAGAAAAAAAAAAGATAGGAGAGCAAGACGAATTAGAAGAAGAAAGGTAGAGGAAGATAGCTCACAAGCTATTACAAACCCACATGTTATAGTGTCCAAATATTCATCCCATTCAACCATTTTTCCAGCAGCCAAAACTGCCCTCTATATAAGGGAAAAAGATCCAAATGCCACATAAATGAGCCACCCCAAGTAGCCAATAAAAGTCTCACAAGATAATTCATTTAATGAGAAGTTAATGCACTTAATACAGAAAAACAGTAAGGTGAAAATCAAACAGCCAGCAAAAGGAAAAAAGGGGGGACAACACCATGGGAAAAGCAGCCAGCATAGGAAAATGAAATCTGCATGGAGAGCATTAACAACTAGCAAAATGGGAATCCAAATATTGCAACCAACAATCATGGGAAGATATGGGCCAAGCCCATTAAGGGAAAAACAGCCCAAAGATTAAATGCTCATATAGCCAATAAGGAAACAAGGAAACATAAAAAAAATTTAGCTTTGCCTACATCAATTGGCCATTAAAAGAGAAGCATACAATTAAGATAAGCGTTGCAGAGATGAGGATGCTGAAGTGGACGAGTGGGTTTACTCTTTAGAGGTAGAATGCGCAATGAGCATATATGTGAAAAGGTTGGAGTAGCTCCAATGAATGATAAGAATAGAGAGAGTCGTCTTAGATGGTTTGGTCACATAAAATATCGGTCTTCTAATGACCCGATTAGGAGAGTAGATGTATTACATTTGGCCTATGTTAAGAGAGGTAGACCTAAAAAGACTTGGTTAGAAAATATTAAAAATTGCCTCTTTTTTAATAGAGTTAAATGAGAATTTAACTCTTACATAACACAATGGAGAAAAAAAATTCATGTAGTCGACCTCACGTAGTGGGATAAAGGCTTGATGTTGTTATTGTTGTTGTTGATGTTGTTTTAGTTATGTTCTAATATGATATAAAATTATATTTGATATTTTAAATATGAGTTGTTTTTATTTATATTGAATGTTGCATAAGTTAGCGGTGGCAGTAGTAGTGGAGGTGGTTGTAGCTAGCAGTGAGAGCGGCTAGCAATGACAGTAGGGGTAGTGGTGGTAGTCGGCTAGTTGGGGCTATTTTTCTTTTTTAAAATAATAAAAATACCATATTTTGAGTATTTTTTAAAATAATTTGATTTGTCTTTAAAAATAAAAAATTAAAATTAAAAAAAAAACAAAAGCCATTGGTTCCAAACATATTTTTTTAAAATAAAAATAAAATTTGATTCCAAGCATGTTCTAAACTACTACAAAGGATGATGAAAACCAAAAAGGAACATATACCAGGCTTGAGATCTCGGTGAAAGTAACCTCTATGGTGCATGTAAGAAAGGCCTTGGAATATTTGATAACACCAATTTCGGATTTCAGTTTCCATGAAAAGCTTGACTCTGTCTTTCATGAGCTGGTAAAGGTTGCATTCCTAATGATATCCAACACCAATACTGATTAAACACAATTTATTTTTACATATTAAATATTGAAAACCCATGCTGTCTCAAAACACCTACCATGTATTCGAATATGAAATACAGTATATCATTCTCCCTTATGACCTCCTTTAGCTTCACAATATTAGAATGGTTCATCCTTCGCAGGGACTTCGAAAAGCCAAACATTGTCTCAGTAACACAAAAATGGTGTTATGGGAAAATGTAACAGATAGTATCAAGTAAAACAACCTTAACTTCACGAAGATTCATGCATTCCTCCCAAGAATAATACCTTCTCTTCATTTTCTTCACTGCAACCTGTCAAAGATGAAGAGAATATTTAAAATTATAGTCATTTCTGCTACTTAAAAACTCGTAGAATCATTGACGCACTTTAAGACAATGTCGTTCACAGAACTAACATACCACTTCACCAGTCAATTTATTTATGGCCCGCCAGACGCTTCCAAAGGTTCCATCACCAACTTCTTTTATTAACTTGTACCTGCCACATGTGGTAACTTTTCAGATAGTGTTCAGCAGCAATTAAAACCGATATCAAACATAATCTACTCACCGTTCCATTTTCAATGAAGCCCAACACTCCTTTCGATACTTACAAACAAAAATAAATACTTATGGTCTGAGAGATGTGTGATGTTGAAGGACGGAGTGAATTTTTATTTTTACAACCGAAGCTTTATGCACATAGCAATTTTGTAAAGCTTTCACCATGAGTCCACACTCAAGTCATTCCGAAAAATAGCTACTCTACCAATGAGAAGTCACGTTCTTTGTGCAGCCAGGAATTTGTTGTGAACCAAGTTCGTATTCAAGGCATAACTGCTCATGGTGTAAGGCGGGATTGATATTTCACTTTCCTAGGAAACTAAAGCAAACCTGATTGCAAGATGTTCTCACTTCTCCATGAAAGAGGTGCAAACCATCATGAATCTATTTATTCAATAATCCAGCCAACTTCATCAAAGCAAAGGGGTGCTCAGCTACAACAACGAATTCAGGTGAACAATCTACCGCTATGATGCAGACGAACAACAGTTATTGTGGCGCAATCTAAACCTGCAAATGAATACAATGTAAAATATGAACCCAGAGAACAGGAATACAGGCAAAAAAAAAATAAAAAATCTTCGGCGTTGAGTACTCCATACCTTAAAATAACTCGAGACTGAAGCAGAGAAAGCAAGCACTGCCCAAAAAAAACCACAGCTTATCAAGGAATAATGCATAAAAACAAGCCTCTACATAAAGCATGAAGCATTAAAAGCAGATCATGAAAAGAGAAGGTGCACTACCGATCCAACAAGGGCTTCAGAAAAGAGTCTCATCAGGTTGCTTTTCAATATCATTTACCAACAACATGCCACTAAGTGCAGTTAACAAAAGCGATGAGGAAGTCACCCAGCACAAGAAACCGCTGTTCAAAAGATTCCCATGATGGCAAGACTGGGTGTTGGTAGCAACTTGAGCAAGGGAATACTTTCTCCATAATTCAAGATAGACTATTAAGCCCACTAGGAAGATGAGCAAAGCCTACGGGTAGAAAAAAATATACATGTTATTTAATCTCTTCATGCGCAAAAATGATTAAACTAACGAAAAGAGAAAAAAATCCACACTAAATCTAAATTATAAAAAGAATAGCATGCATAACATTGTGTTAACATTTTTCCAACAACATTAGTAAGTGAACAACATCATTCATGTTAACTTGGCACTAATCTTCATATTAGAAAATGCACCATCTATTCAGTAAAAATAATAAAGACAAATGAAAGAAGCCACACACATGCACATACACGCACAAAGAGCTAAATGGATTCTAGATGTGATTTCCATTATAGTAGCAGATCAGGCTCCCTATTAGCCGTCTACTATAATGTGCACCTAAAGCAGTAGCGTCATTGACGAATGTCCACATAATATATATATCAAATAACCCAAAGAAGGGAATGAAACTGCCAAAAAAAGTCAAAATTAATTAACTTTAATGTAATTTCGGAGAATTCATTATCATCACAATGCAACGGCTATAATAAATCTCAAAACATTACTAATCAAACTGCCCTTATATGCTTTCAGAAACTAGATTTGATAAGTTAAACCACCCACATCTAAAACTAAATTCAAAAACTCTAGCCATGCATAAGCATCAAAAAGAAACAAGCTAAATCAAAATTACAATGCAACCTTTGAACCTATCCGTAAAAAAAAAATTCACAAAGATGAAAAAGAAAATCAAATTTTGAGTAGTAGCCAAGAAATGACCTTCAGAAAAAATTGGATTTGTAACTCAATTACATTAAATATTGTATGTAATAATCAAGAAGTTGTGTAGCACAACTTGAACAGACTGAGTTTAATTTAAGTACGCAGAAAAGAATTCTTGGTAAAAGGGCTCACAACATGATTAACTGATTTAGTACAAATATTGATGGACATAGAAAAGGAAAGGAAATAGCCTTAAGAATTTCTAACCTAAAGGAAGCATAAAGGAGAATATTATAAAACAGATATGTGATGACCGCCTTTAAATGATCCCTTGGCTTCAAAAGAATGGGATGAGCAAATAAAAAAATATTTAGATAAAGAATGCAATCACTTAATCAAATAAGATCATTTAGGATCCAGCATAACAATAAATAGAAGAAAAGAAGAGCAAAATGTAGTTCTCAGTGTAGTAATAATAGGAGCACAGTGACACAATGACAAGGTAGAAAAGGGCGTCCGTACAATCAGATTTTGGAAATGGTAACGCAAAGGACAAGGAAATTATCTATAGTAGGTGGGTTTAATTTACTAAAGAAAATAGAATCATCTGAGCAATTTCACATCCTTAATCCCATCAAAACTGCCTCAAATGTATATATTCCAATTTTCAGGGATAAAGCTTGAATGGTACAGGGTAAAATAGCGTTAGGCAATTCACAATTGATTCCAGAAGAACTAATTTTCTTTAACAAAAGTCTTTTTATAAAATAGAATAATTATGCGACTCCTAAACATCAAATATACTAGAATTATTCCATTTAATAAAACTGATGCAAACAGACTTACATTTTCACATGTTATGCTGTGGCATTTTTCCTACGCATAAGATATCAAATGTCTGCAACTAGAATACTTGAACCAAGTTATACTCATACATAAATGATACGGACATCAAACATAAAAAAATTTATAATAACCAAACTTGATCAACATTGTCAAAACATGCATTAACATCCACAAAAACTAGAGAGCTCCCTGATTGTGGTCAGATTTTTTCAGAGCCAATGCATCAAAGGGTATCAAGATTAATTCATCAACTAAAACCACTGGTCACCCTGGAAGACGCCCATCATATTCAGGTGGCCTTAAATGTATCTGTTTCCAATTTTGTGGGATAAAGGATGATTTCTAAGTGATTACTTATAACAGCCCAAAGCCGTCATAATCACAGTCATGCCCGCCCTAATAGTCTCAAGCTTATCTCAGTCATTAATCTATAAAAACCTGGAGCAATCACAGAACTTAAGATATAACAACAGCTTTTTATCACTTGCAGAAATGTTCCCTTACTCTATTTTATAAATTGCTGCATCGCTGTAATACAATTAAAATGAAATGAAATGAAAGTTGCTGTAGCTTCTAAAACTGTCTCTGCATATTCTTCTCAACACTTCTCTGCTTGTAATTTTCTCTCATTCTATATGGTACCAGAGCCACTTAGCCAAATGGCAACATTCTAATTCCTCATGAATAATACCAGCTCATCACATTAAGCATTCGAACAAATCAATGGCCTCCAATTCATCGTCAACCACTAGGAATACTGTCATTCCTACTCAACTGAAGTTCTTTATGTCTAACATTAAGAACATTATCTCCAAACAGCTCACAATCTAAAATCACTCCTCTTGGAGTTCACACACCTCCAATGGCTTCAAAGGATACTTGAACGGCACCCCTATCAAACCCAACAACCATTTCATCAACACTGATAGCTCCATCATTATCAACTCATAATACAACGCTTAGAAGCTAGTTGATCAAAACCTAGACACCATACTTAACTATATCTCCATCCCTACTACCCTACATTCTCAATCTTAATAAGAGTGTAGAAATTTGATCCATTATCAACCGTTGCTTATAATCGAGCAATCGCTCACGCAAACACTAGAGTTTGAAAAATGAGCTTCATCATATGTCCATGAAAGACAAATCAATGAACGAATATCTTATTGATATCTAGTACAAAGTTGATTCCACTATGGTTGTTGACACACGTCTTAACCCTGAGGACATTATCCTCGAAACCAAGATAGCCTACCACCACACTATCAAAAGTTTAAGATTGCAATAAGAACAAATCTCTAACCTGCGATGATCTTTACTCGGTGCTTTATTTGGGAAACAACTTGCAACTAAAGCTTCTCACACTCAACAAACTTCATTCTCTGATCCGCACCTTGCCCAAGCAACATCTTGCAATAGAGACCATAGCTGTGCTCCTAACTCCATGCCCGCCAAAGGCTACACTGACACAAACAATCACAGAAACGATCTCAATGACTTCTCCCAGAATCGTTGTGGTAACACCTTTGAACCCACCCAAGAAATGTCAAATATGCAGCATGCTTGGCCATTCAACTATGAAATGCAAGTATCGCATGGATTCAACATACAATCCCTCATCCTATGCTCAAGCTCAACTTGTGTCTTCCTCTACATTCAACTCTAAATGGTTTCTCAAAACAAGAGCATCAACTCATCTAACCTCTGATCCTGCAAAGCCTATCCAATATTCCAATCCCATACCACATGGGCCAAAAACAAGTTGTTGTCAGTAACAGTCAGGAACTCCACATCTTCCACACTGGTAATAGTATTCTTCCAACTCCATCAAATAAGCTTAAACCCTCCCAAATATTTCATATCTCCAACCTTTCACATAACTTGATCTATGTTATTCATCTCACTAATGATAAGCCATGAATTGTTCATTTTGCTGCCACCAAATACCACATTCAATATCAGAAAACCAATCAAACTCTACTCGTAGGCAAGAGTTGTAATGGCCTATGCCCAATTCAGCACTTCTCTGCAACTTCCAAATAAAACTCCAATGGTACCTTCCTATCCATGCTCTCAGCCACGTCCAAATGGCATAGCAGATTAGGACATCCACACAGCCATACAATTCTACTTATAACTAACACCAATCCAAATATGTGTATTCCACTAAGCAAATTTAATGTACTTCTTGTAATTTAGCAAAAAGTTACAAATTATCATTATATTTATCCTCTTCTAGTGGTCTATCACCTCAAAATATTATACATTATGATGCATATGGCCATGCTCTCACAACTTCAAATGAAGGCTACAAATATATTGTCTTATTCATTAATGATTTTTCACATTTTTATGCTAGTTATTTCCACTAAGAAATCAAACCTACTTCAATATTCAAAACACAAAAATATGATCGACATCAACTAAATCTCAAATAAAGACATTTGATGATTTGATTCGATGGGGGTGTCGAATATACATGCCAAATTTTTCAAAATCTTTTAGAATCAATGGGGGAACTCTAATCAAATCAATTGCCCCTACACTCCTAAACAAAATAGACATTTTCATATAATTGAAATCAACCACACCCTTCTACTCAAAGCAGGTCTAGCTCACTCTCTCTGGGTTGACACCCTACTTACCATCGTCTACCTCATAAATAAAATGTCTAGCCCACAACCTACAATCTCTCATCGCAAAATCTTCATATGTGATTTCTATCCATGACGCCAACCTCATCTCAAAAATAAACTGCACCTAACTCTATGCAATGTGTCTTTCTTAGTTATGCCACATTCTGTAAGGGCTATAAATGCTATCATCCCAACCACAAGAAAACTATGCATTTCCTGACATATCTTATATCAAACCTATCCTTACAAATCAACTCCTCAAACACAGAACCAAACACCTGCACCTTCAAAAATCTCACTTCTCACTCTAATCTCAACATCCACTATATTAGCCAAACAATATAATAACAAATCCCACTCACCTATAACATCTACCAACCTCCCAAATCCAGCAAACTTCCTTCTCCCATTCATATCTCAATGATTGCACCACCTCTCCATCAACTCCACAAACTATACCAATACTCTCAGAAGCAGCCTTAGCATTACCAAGCAAGCTCCATGCAAACCAACTCATCCAATGCTCATCATCTCCAAAGGAGTACCCTCAAGCCAAAATAGATATTTAATTTAGCTCATGCTACAAACAAACAAACTGCAGGATCCCTCTTGCTACTCTTTAGCCATTAAATCCAAATAGTGGAGTAAAGCCATACCAAAAGAATTTCACGCTCTTCAAGCCCAATGAATATAGATTCTAGTTCTAACATCTCCACATCAAAATGTACTTGGCAGCAAATGGATAATCCAAACCATGATCCATTTTGATGGCAACTTTGCAAGACATAAGGCAAACACTGTAGCTTAAGGCTATAAATAAGAATATGGAATCGAAAACACAACCACGTTCAGTCTTGTTGTGAAATTACCCACAATATACATACATTTCATAGTTTCCACTTACAACTCTTGGCCAAATAACTCAATTGGATGTTTCCAACGCCTTTCTTCGCAACAATCTCAACGATAAGGTATACATGACCCAACCACAAGGTATCATCAATCCTACTTATCCCCGCATGGATGCCTCCGAAAATCTCTCCATAGGCTCAAGCATGCCCCCACACAATGGTTGGCTAACTTATCCACCTACCTACACACACTCGATTTTGATACCATCTCAATCAACCCCTCTTTGATGATTTACACCCAAGGCAATACAACTCTCTACGTCTTTATTTAAATTAACAACATTTTTTCACCAATACTAAAAAAAATAATGATATCCATGAGCCATCACTAAACTTCTTAACTAATTGAAATAGCAATTCAATGTGAGAATCCTCAGAGACATTGCCACTTTGTTAGCATCCAAATGATTAAAAATCCAACGAGGTTGCATTCAAATCAATCACTCTATGCCGTAGAAATTCCTCATTGGTCGGGTATGAATTCTTGCAAGCCCGTCCATAACTCAACTCTAGCAAAAGAACCTCTTTGTGACTACCCTAATCTAGATTTTCAAAACCCTCCACTCTAAAGGCACCTTGTCGGCTCTCTTCTCCATTTAACCATCCCCACCCAAACATATCATTCAACTATCAATCATGATTGTCAACACATGATGCACAATCCCCTCAAAACCCATTTTTCAACAACTCAAATGGTTACTTTGTTACATTCAAGGAACTCTTTGCTTCAATGTACCCATTTGAAGAGGCAAACTTCATCTACAAGCTTCGACTGAGCAGGAGTCACAATTGATAGTAAATTCAAAACAAGCTATTGCAAATTCTTGGGCAACACCTTGATCTCATGGTGTTTGAAAAAGTAATCTACAATCAACCATTCTACTCCTCACGCCCTAGCAACCACCACCATAGATATCATATGGTTGTGATCTCTACTCTAAGAGTTCATCATCTCCCTTTCGCACCCCAAAACCTCTCAACTGTGATAATGTTTCAGCCTTGGTATTTTCCAATAACCCAATATTCCATGCCCATGTCAAACATATGAAAATAGATAATCATTTTACTCATGAATTCATCAAGTGTAAAACTATCTATGTGCATCACATTGCCTCTCAAGATCATATCACAAAAATCTTACAACTTCACCAAACCAATCTCAATTCCCTCACTTCCACCAACTACACTTTACAAATCAATCACTCAATTGTTAGTATTAATATGTCAAGAATTACATCATGAACATCCAAACATCAATGTAAAAATCTAAATTATATATCCCTAAATTAAGTTCATGCAAAGACAAAAAAAAACAGTATTTTACTATTTCAACCTCAAAATAAAAGTATGCGCTTTATAGATAGATCTGAGAATAGTTCACCAAGAATATACCAGAATTATGTAATTTTTATTCATATGAAATGCTTGTATGAAAACATCATTAAGATACTATGAATAATTTGAGCACCTGAATTTGAAAGATGTAGATAACTAGTGGAAGCTATCTAATGCGGCTAGCAGGCAATCAATATGGAACATTAAACCAAATCCTAACTGCTAAATACGCAATAAACATTCCAAAAAATAAGAAAAAACAAAGTGCAGCCAAACCCAAACATCAAAGAAAAAAAAAACTAAATCCTCAGAAACAATCGAGAACATACAACAGATATCACAAACTTCCCAACCATGCCTATCTCCATCCACGAAGCAAATTTTCATAAATCGAACAAACAATTAGTCGCACTCACGCCATCACCCATGTTTGAGGATTCAATCAGAATGCCGTTTCCTAGACCTAATCAACAATCAACCCGATCGAAAACGTACCCTCCCATCAAGCACAAAAACGCAGATCGCCTCAATGGAAACCAAGCTAAGCCACAAATCAAAACCCTAGAATCAGCGGCAGTGATACCAAGGGGCCATAACCCTAGGGAAAGCTTTGAGAGAGGGGACAAATCTCCACATTCCGGCTCATTACAGCGCAGATCTAACGCATCCACGAAACAGACGACGAAGAAATGCAGTGGGAAAAAATTCAGAGAAGGAGAAAAAGAGATCCACAGTCCAATACCTCCTCGGGCATAACCTCCCTTGCCTCCCAGCGTTGGCAAAAGCCGCCCACGGACGCGCAAAGAATATTTTTTGGAAAATTATAAGACACAACGGAGAAATTGAACCGTAGATTTGAGCAGCGAGATAGATTGACTATATATATAGACCCGGCATTGATTAACCTGTACCTACTGCATGCTTTCACTTAAACGGTTCCGCTAATGAGGCGCAAGATTTATTATGCGACCCACATTTGTGAAGCTGTCGTAAGTTGGTCGCTACATGGCGTACGGTAAGGTGGACGAATTAAAATTATTAACCAGCAAAGTGTGGGCCCGCCAATGGGCCGGCTGATTGCTATGGTGCTCCGCCGGGATTGACCCGCGAATGCGGACCTGGATGATATGCTGTTTGAAGAGAAAATGGCGATGATCTGACGATGGATGTGGTGTGTGCACACATAAATTTTATATGCGAGGAGGCGGTGGGTCGCGGAGCGAGAATACGGACCACGGGTTAGGTGCTCGATTTCGACGGTGAGCGGACCGCAATCTGCTCCTTTACGTTGGGTAGTCCGCCAATTGAAGGTGTAAAATCACTCTTTCTTTTGTTCCGTTGAATTTTGGCTTACTTCTTTGCAAGAGAATGTGAAGGCTAAAATCAAAGATAAAATAATGTGGCATAGCTATAATGATTATACTATTCTCTTACCTAATATGCCACGTCAGCTATTGAAGCCAACAAATATTTATAAGTTTAGCATTAGAGTTTAAGTTTAAAAGAACTATACACTTAATAAGAGATGTTCGATAATATGGCTCAATCATTCTCCTTAGAAGAGAGTGGCTCAGAAGATCTAAAAATTAACATTAATAGTTGATGAATGATATATATATATTTAATGTCACTATTTGATAAATATTAGGTGATTGTAAATGTGGAGCATCAGAGGTGCTGATTATTAATGAATATAAATTATTAATATGATCACAAACAAGATTTAAATTTGAGTTATTAACTACTTGTAGCTTTTAAGGGAGGAGAAGAAAAATATTATGTATAAGTCTCTAAGTCAACTTATTTTGTTGACAAAAGGAGTTTTTGAGCCAACTTATTTATTTACAAGGAGGAGATGATCCATGAAAAAGATATATCATGATATAAAATAAATAATATAATATATAGTAATTTTGGTGGCCTTTATCTATATCTACTATAATGATGTATTAATTCTTTGGCATGATAATAGTTAAGAAGATGATGAAGAAGGTGGAGAGAAAAAAAATATATTTAAATCTAACTCAAGACCTTATCCTAAGATCAAAATACTCAAACCTCTAAGAAAATCACTCCCCAACCTTTTGTTAGCTTCTTAAGTGATGAATATGGAAGGCCTTTTTGGTGGGATTAATTACTAAAATTATTTATGAATATATAAAGAAGTGATATAAAGTTTTTGATAGAAATATAAGAGTTTTAAAATGGCAATGAAATACCAAGATTAGTCTTGTTTGGACTCATTTGAGTTGATTTGCAAATTCGTTTTAGGGAAATGAGTTTTTGATTGGATTAATGGTTGAAAATTAGTTATCCTCCTTGTATTATATGGAGATTCTTGCATTAGATGTTGATGACTACTTTTTGACATGGGTCAAGTGACAGTCAATAAGAACTGTTAGAGGTCAATAATGATTAGATGTTTAAATAAATCTTTAGGGTTTAGGAAGCTGGGGTTAATTATTGAGGAGACTTGCATCAAATGTTAGGGTTTAACAGACATCACTGCACTCTTTAGTAAGGCTTAGGAAAATAATCAATAAGAAATCTTAGAGATGAAGTAATGTTGGGCAATCTGCCTCAATTATTCTCCTTATAATAAGGATATCAAATTATTGGAAGGCTTTTGGTATGTAGCATGTAACAGTCAATGAATAAAGTTAAAGGTCTAGTGACTTTGAGAAATCTGAGTTGATTGTTCACCTTATAAGCGGCTTGGGGGCGTTAAATAATGAAGACGTTTTGCATCAAATGTCGATGATTGGAGGACATTAAATGTAGTATTTTAATGGTCGGTTAATGCTTTTATTCTCTATCTTTCTCTTATTTTTAGATTTGATTCTAATTAGGCTTAATATTTAGCTGGCTCCAATTATTACACTTAAGTAAACTGGTTAACCAAAATCCACCTACTTAGGGTGGTGGCAATATAACAAATTTGCCTCACAACAATGAGGAACCCAAAGAGTCATCACCCCCAAATAGCAAGAGAATAGGAGTTCAAGAGGCCATTGCTTGTTGTAGTAAGCATTGGCTCAGAGGAGTTCGGTTCTTCATTTCAAATCAAGGTTCATCTTCATTATTTCCTTTTGGTTCCAGGTGTTTTGAATACGCTCTCATTCTTCCATTTAGCAAAAGAACAAATTAAAAATGAATAAAAAGGAAAAAAAAAGAAAAACTAGTTAGGCCCGCTGATTCAGGTGAAAATAAGTAATAATCCAAGAAAAACTAGTTTTGCACAAAACGAACTTGAATTCAAACTAAAAATAAAACAATATTTTTCTTCAACCTCAGTACATCACTCTATGTATGGCATGCTACAGTTTGCTTTCGAATGGAAAAACTTATTTTAAGCTTAACCATCTTCTCCAAATCTTTATCCAACATATAATTTGGCCACTGTAAAGTTTCCATATCACATTATACACTTGGTATTTTCTATGCATGGCCAATAACAATGAATAACCATAAATCAAAACTAAGATCCTATTTTTTTCTAGTTGCCCTGGGCTTCCTGAGAGATGCAGCTGACTTCGCTTTCTGAAACGCATCAAACAAGCCCAGCCAAACAAATGACAAGCACTTTGTAACGAGGGAAAATAAAATTTTAAGAGATTACTGCTGTTGCTACCAGAACACAAAACCTCATGCCTGCATCTTAATCTTGGCTCATTTTCGAGTACCAAAGTTTCTTCTGGCAAATCAAAAGCTTCTCCTTCTCCACCTCGGCGCCCTTCTTCTCACAACCCCATTTAATCCCTTTTGCAATCGTGGATATAGAATCTATAAAGTAGTCTGATTCACGGATAATCACATAACCACTAGGACGAAGTATCCGATCCATCTCAAGAAGAATAAACTTCATTTCACATCTTTAGAAAAAAGAAAAAAGAAAAAAAAACAGGAGTAACTGTCAATACATGCGCTAAATTTTCTTGCATTAATTTGTCAAAGAGACGAGTTACTTTACCTATGGCTCTCAGCAGTAAATAAGCCATCAAGATGCAAGAGATCGTATGTTCGAGGGTATGTTGAGAATGGTTCACACCTACAGGAAAATAGTAAAGCATGTTCACAACAATGGACCATATTAAACTCATTTAAAAGGACTTGAAATGGATCTAAGAAATATATTCTGCATATATGTGCAATATATATAAGATGAAATTCTATCTTGCACACAGTAAGATTTCAGTGAGCATAATTTTTTAGCTTTAGTTGCAATATATTGACATGTCGCCAACCACCATAACCAAAATGACAACAGTTGTAGAATATAATAATTTCACAAAAAAATAAAAAATAATAATAATTTCACAATATTCTAGGCAAGTAAGATGACATGAATCCAAACCAAAGATGTAGAGAAGGTTATTTTACATTAAAAAAAATTGATGTAAGAACATCCTAGTTATAGCATACCTTAGGAATAGTTTATCAATTTATTACATGTTTTCTAGAAATTTCTATAGTTAGCTTATATATATGTTTATTGTAGTAGAACGAGGGGAGGATGAATATTATGCTATTTTGAAGCTTGTGAGCTTGTATTGGTTCTTAGTTTTGTAATCCTTCTAGAAGATCTAATTCTTTCGCTGATCCACTATATCAATTGGTATAAAAGTCTGGATTTTGTGAAGAATGACGAAATGCCGAAGAAGATGGGATGTTGACGATGATTGAAGCCTAAAAAGGTAGGTTGTCGATGATGGTCGAAGTCGAAGATGGGTTGTTGATGACGACCAACACCGAAGAAGATGAGTCTTCCAAGACGATTAAAGCCGTGAAGATTTTAGGCAGCTCAAGTGAGTGCGACACTTGATTGAATTGACAATTTATTGCCTAATTTCTGTCGTTCTGTAGAGATAATAGGAAGAAGTATGGTGCCTTCGTCCCTCTCAGCACGATCGGCCCGCTCCCATTCTCACTTCTACTCTGATGGAGCGATCCCTTGCCCGACTACTTAAACCGCAATCAATTCGTGGTTGTCGTCCACGTGATCCTGTCCACACAATCGGTCCCACTCCAACCCAGTCCCGTCGCTCACAGTTCTGCCTCTGCTTCCTCTCGCGATCAGATCTGCGATCCCACCCACTCCAAATCGATGCCGCCCTCATCCCCACTCCGCTGAAGTTCATCCCACCGCTCACATCATGACCGCTCTCGCGTGCTGTCCCGTACATGACCAACCTGCCTCCATTAGCACCGACCTCGCTCGTTGCCGATTCACTTCCTGAATCTTGCAATCCTTCTCCATTGAAGCCTGATGGAGAGGTCGATGTGCTCAAAACTATATCAATTTTTGTTGAATAGGAGATGGATAAGTTGTTTGTTAGTTTCACAACCTAGTATTTTTCCCACCGCAACCTGTTGCATACGATGGACATGCATCAAGGTGACAGCGAGATGGTGAGACAAGATGGCAGTGTCCTTTATGCCATCGTTGGCGACGTACGGGGAACTCCAGAGAAACCTACGGAGGTTGCTTCTGGTGGCTTCGACGAGAGGGGCCGAACGAGGAAAAAATGCTCGGCATCCTCCACACGACGAGAACTTGGAAGATAGGGAAAGAGAAGGATCCACTCAGGCTTCGTTTGTTTTTTATGTGCTTTTGTAAAACACAGTTTTAAAAAACATTAGTTCAGAAAATGGAGTTTTCTAACGGAGAAGCACATCTAAAAAGCATTCTCAAAACTGCAGAAAAATGAGAAAAAAGAGTTATTGGGAACGTGATTTGACGAACCAAACAACACAAAAAAAAATTCCTCAGTTTTAGGAAACGGAGAAGGCAAAAAAAACGCTCAAACAAACAAAGCCTCAGCATCAACATTGCCGCGTTCCAATGCTAGCTACGCAAGCTTACGTTCCCGTAACTGATCGAGGCGACCAACAGTTTCTCCGCCGCAAGCATAATCGTGAGCAGAGGATTAAGGGAGGTATCCAAGGATTCTTGATGTAGGATGACGTGCATATGTAATGTTAGTGAATTTGAAAATTAAAGGCTTATGAATAGAACTTTAACAATTCATTAACTTCTCACATATCTAAGCGAAAGATTAAAGCCAACAAGATAGTGATTAAGCTCAGGCAATCAATTATATGATATCATTAGGATCACAAAATAATCAAATTAAATCATACATGTTAATGTGAGGCTTTCAAAGAGAATCCATAATTTAACAATTAGAATAGTTACTATAAAGATCCACTCACACACACTTTTGATTTGGGCTATGCGGATAAATCTTCATGATCAAGTGATGCCATGATTGAGGAGGAATTAAAAACGTATAAAGTAAGAAAGAAGGTTTACCGTCCTCGTGTTTCTGATGCTTGTTCGATCATTTGCAAGAACCTGGCTATCGATGGTTGGTGTCCCCTCTTGACTCAATCAAAAGGGTTTGATAATTCTTGCTTAGTGGGATCTTCAAGTGGAGGACTAGGTGTAGAGAGGGTGGATGGAGGTGTAGCCGGCCCAGGGAGGGGATTTATGTTCTCCTTCTCGAGGAAAGAATAAGTTATGAAGAATAATTGTTCATGGAGAAGGGAGGGATGTGGCCGGCCATAGAGGAGGAGAGATAGGTGAGGCTTAATTCGAATTTGGAGGGTAGAATAAGGCATGGACAACAATTTAGAATTTCGGAATTCAATTCCAGCAATTAACAAAATTTTGGAATTACTTTCTTGTATAAGTGGCATGCAAATTAAGACAAGAATCAATTTGGATTGATTGGGATTTAATGGTTGCTTTAAGTGGGGAGAGTGATTGGGAGGAATTTGAATTTGAATGACCCTAAAATAAGGAGAGAAGAGCGGCGGCAAGCCTTGATGGAGGGCTGATTGGGAAACTCAAAGTGGAAAGGTTAGAATTGTGGAGAGAGGGGAAGGGGGCGGCAAGGACTAGGGGAGGTGGAATAATCAGAGGACTTAAAGAGGTTGCCAATTCTAAAATGCTAAATGAGGAGAGGAGATTTAGGGAAAATCTCTATTCAAAATTCAAATTATCATGAATGTAAAACTTTCCTAACATAACTCATCTCATTTAAGAAAGAAATTTCAGATTTAAGTAAATTAAAATTTGAATTTAAAACTTTCTAAATTTATGATGTGCTAAGTTTGGAAAGTATTGATTATTTGGTTTGAAATTTTGGAGGCAATGGGGAGAGATAGGGGCTAGCGACTATGAGGGGAAGGGGTTCGGTTGTTAGGGTGGGGAATCGGCCAAGGGGAGGGAAGGGTGGCCGGCGGTTTAGGAAGGAAAGGGGGGCGGCGGTTTAGGGTGGTAGTCGGCCAAGGGATGGGTTGTGGAGGTGCCGACGACAAGGGGAAGGAGTGGGCCGGCGGCTAGGGGAAAAATAGCAAGACGAATTGGAGGTGGAGATAAACCACGAGCCCGGATGCTTCCTGTGGCTGATGGGTAGTGCTTTACCCTCACCAAGGAACTTCAAACTCTCACAATAACTCTGACAACTCTCCAAGAAACAAAGTGCGAAAATTTCTCATTATAGTAATCATCATCCTCTCCAAAGAGGAGGAGAGGTCTATAAATAGATGACTTACATAAAAATATCCAAAGACAAAAGTGCCCCCTGAGGTCACATAAGCCTACTCCCTCAAGTAAGTGCAAAAATAGAAAAAATACATAATAAAAATCAAATACAAATAAATGCTCATAAATAAAGTGGAACAATCATAATCGTAGATCTTCGACCCCTTCTCTGATAAACTTTTCACGGTCGAATGTCCTCATCACTTCTTCTCCATCATTATTATTGGAGTGTGGGATAAGTAATCGGATAGTGCTTCGAAAATACGAGATCCCAAAATTCTTTGAAGAGATTCATGATTATGTGATTAGGTTTGGCTTTTGGTGAGAAGTGGATGTTTTAAATGCTTTTATAACAATGCATGCAAAGTGTGGTTATTTTGATGATGCTCGCAAAGTTTTTGATGTTATGCCTGTGAGAGATTGCATTTCTTGAAATGCTATGATATCAGGGCATTTTGAGAATGGTGAACATTTGGAAGGTTTGAATCTGTTTTTGATGATGCGAGATCTTTCTGTGGAGCCAGATTTGATGACAATAACGAGCATAATTTCTAGCTATGGATTCCAAGCTTGTGATCTCATTGTCAGCCATTGGATTTATGTGACTGCTCCGCAAACAAATCTATTCAATGACAACCATCTTCCTCAGCACTGCTCTAATCCACCTAGTTGACACCAATAATAAAAACAAACCTTCTGTTGATGTTCATTGTCGTCGCAAGATATTTGATCTAGGTGATCTAATTATGGCTCGCCTCCATCGGAAGCTTACGTCCAATTTTTCATAACCACGTAGCAGTTGCACTCAGCAGAAGATTGGCTCTAATTATTCAATTACAAATGGAGATTACAGGTTTAGCAATTTTGAAGGATCTTTATGCTGGTGGAAATGCAAAGCTTGCAATGATATGTAATGTTTCACCATCCAAGAGTTGAGTGAAATTTTTAGCACCTTGAGATTTGCTCAGCGAGCAAAGGAAATAAAGAATAAGTTAATTATAAAAGAGACAACAGAAGATGATGCTAATGTCCTGCGAGAAAAGATATGCCAGTTGAAGAATGAACTTCTTCGAATAAAGTCAAATGATAAGTCAAAAGAAAGTAATGGAAGTTGTTCTATTGGATGGAATGTCCATCGGAGTTTGAGCCTTAAGATTTAGCCAATATCGTCCAAGCAACAACTGCATCATATGACTTGGGAAAGATATTATGGTGGAAATAGATAATGGAAAGTCTTTTAGTTACACACTTAGCTTTGACACAGTATTTTAATCAGCAAGGATTCCATATTATTGGATATGATTGCATTCCATGCATTGGCTCTAAGGATGGAATTACTTCGGCTAAAGCATTGGGAACCTTTACTCAGTCAAACGAACTTGCAGATATGTATCCAAGATGTAAAATCTTTGACCCAGGAGGATTGCTTATGTATTCTACACCTACCTTACAATCGATGACGTGCTTCGATGGAGTCGAGCTTTTCTGACGCAAGGAAAGTATGATGTAGGAACATCCTAGTTATAGCATACCTTAGGAATATCTTATCAATTTGTTACATGCTTTCTAGACGTTTCTATAGCTAGCTTATATATGTTTCTATTGTAGTAGGATGAGGAGGATGAATATTATGCTATTTTGAAGTTTGTGAGCTTGTATTGGTTCTTAGTTTTGTAATCCTTCTAGCATATTCAATTCTTACGTCGATCTACTACAACAAAAATACTTTTGAATATGTCCAGAAATGATCAGGCTACCTGCTGACAAAAGGAGAAACAAGCTCCTATTTGTTGTTTCTTTTAGGAAAGGAAAATATCCTTTTTGAAAGATGCGCCATAAAAAACGGATAAATTGTTAGCTCAAACCCCAAATAGTTAGAAATCACTCACCAGTCGTGGTAGGTACCAATCAGTCCTCTGTCATAGATAACACCAAGGGAATTTGGACCGTAGGATGACACAACATTCATTACCCACAAAGGTGATTTGATGAGCTCTGCTGCGAATCCCCCAAAAAGTGTATTCATATCCATGACATTTCTAATCTTATCACTTCCTATAGCTGGCAGTAATTTGTGATAGTGCTTCACCCTAACCTTCCATTGAGATTGATCATTCTTGAATACATTACCATTTCCACCCGGGACCATGGATACACGTTCGGGAGCTGCAATTAAGCGACTAGGCCATTTTGGAGTAGTATGCAAGCTCAATTTCTTTAAATTCTCGCTAGGGATGGTTATGCATGGTCTGAGTGGAATATACCATGCTGAATCTGGATCCCTGCTGTCATCACATTTAGGAGGATAGGAAGATGGATTTAGTTTGTCGTAGCAGCTAGAATCTAAAGATTTCTGCCACACAGCAATATCATCCTTCATATTATACAACTTGAAGCACATGCTTGTCAGCAACTTGTTTAATCTGTCAAAATCTAATTTCTGCTCCTTTACTGTCGTGTTCCAGCCACGCCATCGGTTCTGATAATTAATTGGTGGTCCAGAAAGCACCCAGAATCCACCAGGCCTAACAATTCTATGGATTTCTAGAAGATAAAGCCCACCTGTATCCACAGGGTTCAGATTTTAGATGAATTAATTAAGCAAGCCACCCACGCAACACAACTACTCTTGTTACTCCAAAGATGACCCAATCTAAAAATAAATGTTAAGAATAACAGAAAAAAAAAATCCTGATGTTACCAAATATTTATAGGCAGTCGCAAATTTAAACATGCTGCCTAATATGATTATGTTGACGCTTCAAAATACATATATGAAAATTCAGAAAGGCCCTTTGTACACTAAAATGCAATGATAAAATGGACATTGGGACAGCTAATACATAAAAGTTTTGTAAATAAATTCACTCCAACAGGGAATGTACATGATTGACCAAAAGCAGGCCCATTAGATAAAGAAATTCTCTCCAATTGAGAGCTTTATTAGCTAAAGTGAAAGGTTATGACCCTCCAAATTAATTGGAAAAATGGATTATTTATCTATATTCTCTTGAGGAATCATAAAAAGAATGAAATACATAATATCTGACAACAAACGTGTTTTGCAAAATATAAAAATGATGGTAACTTGTCAAACAAAAAATAAAATGGCCGGTAGATAGATATCTACTATTGATAAAAGAAATTTACTAAAAGAAATTTACCAAATTCAGTCCAGGGGATGAGACATCTGGAACAGTGAGCCATATCAAAAGAATTCGAAGGAAAAGGAAGGCGTTGTGTAGATATGATCCCTAAAATAGCTGGAATGCCTCGTTCGAGAGCAAACTGCACTTGAGCTTCATGATTATCTCTCGGTGCAAGTGAAATAGTTAAAATTCCACGGTCCAACAAATCACCACCCCAGCTTGCAACCTGCAAAAAACAGTACAAGGAATTGAAAAATGCATGAAAAAACTTAACACATAGTTTTTCATGTGGTTGAGCAACAAGCTTGTTAAATCAAGTCAGAATAAGCATCCAAACACTAGAGATTAGAAGAATAATGAAATGCTCCAAGCTTCACATAGACTTCACTTGCATGGTAATCTAGCATATACACACAAAGTATCATTATCAAGCAGAACAGCTCGAACTGTAGAAGAGTTAAAGATTTTGAAAATTGCAATGAGTAGCACCACAGTTAAAAAGAAATTCTAGAAGCTTTACATTTAAGGGTTGTTAGATTCAAATATTTTAATATTCCAGTGTTGCTTAGATGATAATGTTATTCCTAAAGCAGTGCTATCTATCAAATACTGTGTTTTATTCTTATGTTACTAAAAAATCATATAGCCCCAACATTTAAGTGTCAGCATATTTGACCGACCGATGCCAATGAACCCCCATGAATTTTATTACTGTATTAAGATAATGTAGGCTTATTCCAGTGATTTAAACTTATAAATAAGCAAGCAATGCAAGCAAAACTGGATGCTCTGCAAAATCAATTAGAAGTTAGCAAAACCAGAATTTTGAGAAGGGAGACGGCATCAGATATTGTTTGCATTTTAAAGCAGCTTCATTATAATAGGCCATGTCCTTTGTTGCAGCTAACCCAAGAGTATCATCAAATAATAACGATCAAAAAGTGGGATAGAAATTGAGAGTATCTATTAAACTAGGATCAAAAGCGATTCAGATGAAATGGATTGGCTCGCTCGAGCTATTTTAGAAGATGATGTCAACAGTATATGAAAATGTTATCAAACGTATAAAAAATAAGAAGATGTGAAATCAACCTACCAAAAAAGCACAACCAAGAGCACACACAAATTTATATGGTTTGACTAGATTTACTACACATGATTCCACATAGATCTAATAATCTACTAAATTTTAAAAGAGGTACATGGATAGATTGCATTTCATATATAGTTGAAAATAAAACAGAGGTATCACTTTATCACATCTAACCGAGAGAGAACATGACCACATACTATCAACATGAGGGATGGACGTTGAGAAAAGTCATTATTATTATTATTGTTGTTGCTCTATTCTTTTTTCTATTGTAGTAGTCCAATTGAGATCTTCTCTTGCTATGACCAGGAGCTTATCCTTTTAGTGGAATTGAAATCACCAATGCCTCCTTTTTTTTAAATAAGCAAAAGACCTCCTTCCTACAAGTAATCAAAAAATGTTTCTCTTTACTCTCTCAGTTGTTAGTCTCTCTCATTTTCATCCCTCTTCTCTTTATTTCTTGTTATTTATAGTGGTGATTAAGAAAGAATAATTAAAAGATATCCAAAGTCAATAATATGATCTCTTCAAGATCTTTACAATAGTATAAGATCTTCTAAATATTCATAGTCAACATGGATTAGTCAAAGATTTGAATTTAAAGAGGAGACCCATCCATAGCTTGAGAGGGCCTTGTCCAATGGGAATCAAAATATTGGTTTAAATAACAAGCAAAACCAATTATCATTATCATGATCATCAAAACATTCATCTACAAGAGTTTTTATATATTATTCCAACAGGAATGCAATCATTAATCTAAAGATAAAAATGCAGGAGGTCTCAAAACAAAGAAAACAACATCAGAAAAATCATAGGTCATCATCAATTTTTAGAATCAAAAGATAAATTTCAGGAACTAAAAGGAGACTTCATGGCTAATAATTTTTGTGAAGCTCACCCCGCAACCAGTATCAATAGCAGTTCGGATTGTCCCATCTTTCATTTCAGGAATAAGATTTTCCATTAAATCAACATACTTGCTAACTCCATTGGGAAACATAGTACCTCCACCGGGGAAGAGAAACTTGTCCCCATCTTTTTTTAACCAATGTTGATTTGATTTCTGATTGTTTATCCAATCATACGGCACATTTCTAAGCATATATAAAATGGGACTTATGTCAATAAAATATCTATCAACTCTAAGAAAATATAAGAACAATATAAAAAGACATGCAATATATTTATTATTGATGGCTAAATAAATAAAGGGTAAATACTTCACCTATACCAACACTGGTCTTTGCTCTGAGGCCATCTAATAGGGATTTTGTACCCAGTTGGCGGAGGCACTAAGCACTCTTTCCTTTCGTTCATTGGCGGACAATGGCGTTCCATAAAACTAAGCCTGTAATTACCATACCTTCGCCATCTCTGTGAAAAGAACAAAAAATTACTCAGTGCCAAAGGAGTTTCAATAATTATATAAAAATAAAAGTGGCCAACACATAATCAAAGTTCGCCATTGCACCAAGAAGATGAAGAAAGTATGAACATGCGCATCTACAAATTTTAGGCTTAAAGGAGTCCACCTTAAGTCAAATTAATCTACAACACCAACCAAGAGTCAAGGAGGAACCATGTACGAGGATGTAAAGTAGGAGGTGGTTGCAGCATGGTAATTAATAGCCTTATTTTATTTTGGTCTGAAAGTTGGCATAATGGACAATTATAGTTCTCCCATTCAACTATTCCTATAAAACTCCATTCATCGGTAAGATAGCATTTAATATGGAATCAGAGTTTGAGTGAGCCTAACTTTGAATAGAAATTAATTTGATTCAAGCTAAGCCAACTTAAATTGATTTCATTTTATTAAATATAATTATCCTTATATTATATTAAACTTAGTACATTTACCATTGTTTAATATATATTATACATATACACATATTTTGAGTGAACTTTAATTTATATTCAAGTGAGTCAAATTAATCTTCAAATAAACTCAAAATAAATTTTCGTCCATAGTGCAGTTCTAACTTGACTCAAAATTGGTTCAATTTGATTCAAGTTAAAATAGCTTTCGATTAAGTTTTGATCCTTATTGAGTTTAGACTATTTTTACACTCTAATCGTGAGCCATAGCTTTCTTATTAGCTCTTTTGATCAACCCATTTGCTTTTTAATGATTAACTAAATATCCAACAGCACAACATTCTGTAACAGTAGGAATGTACAAAAGCATATTTTGATTCACCTTTGGATCCGTGCATGGTGTATAATCTTGGAAGTCAGTTCCACAATCAGGGAAAGCAATAGGATTAACTCTAAAAGGAGCCACAACAATGTCTTTCTGAGAAGTTGTTGGTATTGAAACCTTTGAAAAGAAGCTATTTTTTCCCGAGTAATAAATGCCTCCAAGATAGAATGAAAATCCGCAAACCAATACAAACATTACGACTATAGGAACTGCCCTAGACATTTTATCACGTTTGCTCCCTGGCTTGGCATCTTTATTCTTCATCTTTCCTATGCTCCCAAGCCTAACAAAAAAAAAAGAAAAAAATTTAGCACAAAGCAAATTGGAGAAGAGAATAGAACAACCGAAACCATTGAAGGTTTCATAAATGATAGATGAAACAGATAAACCTTCGGAATCATTTGAAAAATGCAATGGGATCTTGAAAGAAATCTATGGAACTTGGCAAAAGTATCCATGGCTAAAAACATAGCTTAAAAAGGGAAAGGCATTCAAAATCAAAGGCTATAGTTATGTTTAAGAATGACACAGCTTAAAAAAGGTATTCAAGAACAAAGGCTATGTTTGCTCAAAAAAGTAAGAATTGCATACAATCAACGAAGTCAGTGCAAATAAACTAAAATTGGCAATCAACAAAGCCTGGTATAATAACCAAGATTTGAAACTAAATTGTAAGATCTCAAGAAAGCCTAAAACACAAATGAATAATTTGAATAACTTAGCTAGGAAGAAAATAAGGAAACTAACAGTTCACTTCATTTTTTAAGTTCAAGGAGCAAAATTGGATAATCAATTATGCATAGAGTTTAGTATGAAGCGGAAAAGGAGTGAATATTGACACATACCATTATTGGTGTGTTCTTTTGTGAAATTACTAATATGAGACATGGATGAGAAAACTAAAGGTAAAAACTACAAGGAAGATTGGAGAATACCAACTTGATACACGCTATAAACTAGAGCCTTTCCGGATTTACATAGTTTATAGATTTTTTGGGGTTTAAGACTGATCTGATTCTCGACCTAAATTCAATTGCCAGCCCGCTAAGTGGATTTAAGCTTGGTGAGTCATGTGTCTACTGATAATTCACACCAACCCTTACCTTTCGCTTTAACATGAACTACTGAAATCATAAGATAAACATGGTGGTTGATTAACAATATCTAACCCATCACGTATCCAAACCATGAAGTGATAGAAGTAGAAACAAAATGATTAAGATAATAAAAAAAATGAACAACGTCGACAGAAATTTAAAAATCTAAATAGGGCTAAGTAATATCACAATTTGAAAATAATATCAGCATCGAAATTGCAGATCTGTTTCGCCAATTGAAGCTTCAGCTATAAGCCTAAAAACCGAGATATTGCATTATCTAACAAAATAATACCCAAACATAAAACTATTGTGCATGGTAACAAAGAGAAAAAAACCCAGAAATTGAGCAGCTTTTTTCCAGAACAGAACTCTATAAAGACAATAGATCAATCTCATAAAAAACCTCACAGATCTAATTCATGTTACCAAAAAAAAATCATTCAAACATGAAGATAACAGAAAACTCGTTCTCATAAAAACAACACTTAAAAAAGAAGTTTAACTCGATTTATCATACAAATGTTTAATCCAAATTTAAACCCAAAACCTTAACCAAAAGAATTCAGCAATAACGTAGATTAGGTCTCTAGGGAAAGATCACAAATCGAACAATCCAAAGAGCTGAAAACAAGCAATTGCAAAATAAAAACAGATAACAGTCATCAAACTATCTGCGGCAAAACAACAAACAGAATCACCCATCCACACGCCGCCACTTAGATCTATTAGAAACTGTGTAATCGAGAAAATCAAATTGTACAGCAGAACTAACGAGAAGGCATCATTTCATGGTTCGAAGAAATAATCAGTACAGTCTCTGTAGAGCGGAGCGGAAGTACCTTTTGGATCCCAACTTCTCTACCAATCCCCAGCAAATCAGACAAAGAATAAAAAGGAAAAAAAAAAAAACTCTAATATTAATAGTAATTGACGGAGAACGGAAGGTATCAGAATGGCGAATTCGAATCCCTAACTGGCATTTAAAGCTCTCCTTGTCGGTGAGCTTCCTTTCCCATCTCTTCAGCTCTCTTCGCTTACTTTTTTTAATCGCAGCACAGTTGAAAATGAGAATTGAAGCGTAGGGAATAAGGAATTTTCAGCTGGGGGTTTATTGGAATTTTTTAAAATTTTGTAATATTTGGTTTCAGAAAATATAGGAAAAAGACGAAAGCAAAACTTGGAGGAAACTCGACGTAAAGGCCGCGGGATATATGTCTTACCACCTACGAGGTCTGGGGAAACGGCCGCCGGGCAACAGAGAAACGCCGTCGGATGAACTAGCCGACTCGCATGGACGCTTAAGGGTCGCGACTTTTAAGGTGTTCCGGCGCAGGCGGGCGGCTTAACCGGGGCCCAGAAATTTGTAGGGAAGGTGACAGGAATTTGCAGATTTCACGTTGACAGCGGAGGCTGATCATGGCGGGAATAATTAATCTGGAACCCGGAGGTCAGTGAAAACATTATAAAATTAATATGAACATAATTGCAAATTTGTTTTATTTGTTTAATTAAAAAAAATTCAATAATCATATGTGCTTTTTTTATCACTCTTGATTAAATTTAATTAGAATGATTTTTTAATTATTAACTTTTTTAAGGATAAGTATAATAATTAATTAATTAATCGTATAAATATTAATGATTATAAATTAATAATGATCAATTTTGAATAATACAAATCTTCTCCATTATTGAGAGGGCCAAATTTTTTATGGATTTTATTTTTTAATTTTCCGCAAGATGCTTGCCTGCTTGGTGCAGAGGTCAAAGGCAGAACTATTTGGTTAATTGCGGTGAAGTGTTGAAGGATCTTTTTACACATGAAACCCTTGCAACTATACATTTTATGCTTAAGTTGGGAGGTAGGAAAAGAAACTGGCAGCTGCAGCCTACTAAGTGAAGTAAATTTGCAATTAAGTAAAAGTTGAAAAAGCAAAATGTGTGATAAAAAATTGGATGGGACGATGACTATGAGAGGGGCCAGCTGGAGAAAGGGACGGCGGAAGAATAGATTGGCCTCATCAAGAGTTTCGCGTCGGTGTTATGGGTGGGAGAAAGCCGTTATTAGCAGACGCCGCGCGTTCTTTTCATGCTTGTCACGTGAGGTAAAAGAAGTCACGTGAATTTTGTCCAGATTTTAGAGATTAATAAGGAGTCACTTGGACTGCAAATCCTCGTAAATTTTATATATTTTTCGTAAATTTTATATATTTTTAATGCATTATACGTTATGTGAAATGCTATTAAATTTTTTTTAATATATGAGTTTGATTATTTGATAAAATATGTACGACTAATATTATTATTTAAGATTAGAAAATTTAGATACATACATATTGTTGCGGACTGGAGCATTCGCAGCGTTAGAGAGATAAAGAGCTTGATGTCTTAACTTTAAATAAAAATCAAATACACATGCATATAAAGAGAGAGGGGTGTGAGAATCATAAAAGACACCAAATTTTTTTTGAAAAATCATGAAAAGGAGAACTAGTTAAAATGATTTCACTAGTATTTGTAGTCGATTACAAATCATACCCTTCTGCTGGGGGAAGCCATTGGATCAATGTATAATATAAAGCACATTATATAGTTGGGTTGAAGAATCTAATGATAAGGGATCCATTATCAATAGAATGTTGGCTTGTTAATTTGTTTGGAAGAGATGTATTTAGGCGATGAAGATCAAAGAGATCGTAATCGGTGGGTAACGGTGGTCGGAGAGACTGTAGTGACGGGCGATAGTGGTCGGAGTGACTATAGTCAGCCAGTAACGATGGTCGCAAGGACTATAGTTGGAAGCGAATGTGGTCAGCGAGATCGTAGTCGGCGAGCGACGGACAGTTAGTGGGACAGTAGTTGGTAGGCAACGGTGTTCGATGGTCCGGTGGCGGTTTGATGCTCGATCAATGGTTCGACGATGGTCGGGCTGTAATCTGGCTGCAGTCTTCTGTTAAGTACGTGGTTGTTCGTCGGTCAGACAGATATCTAAAGGCGGTCGGCGACAGGGTAGTGGTCCAGCGGCGATCGATGGTCAGGTGGTGGTCTGATGGTAATCTACGACTGGGTAGTGGTCCTGCAGCAGTCAGTGACTGGGTGGTGGTTCGACGGTGGTCTGTAGTTAAGTAGTTGTCTTACAACAATCAATGGCTAGGTAGTGGTCTAGTGGAAAATCGGATGTTGGGCGGTAGTTCGACTACGATCAATAGAGTTTCGCCCACGGTGGTGCATGGGTGGAGCTCTAGATCCTTCAAGCCTCATAGCTCACTCTAATCTCTAGCTAAAGGTCCAAGCTCCTCTCATGTAGAGAGTATATGTCTATTTACAGATTTTTTAGAGTGGCATGCCCTATATATGGGGCATATTTGGAATGCTCCATCACACGACCCATATTAATCGATCCACTAATTATAGAGAGTTTGTCAAGCATTTATATGCCTAAATGATGTCAGAATTAAGTGATCATAGTCTCGTTGGATTCGTCTTGTCGAGCCGCTTGATTCGACTATAAGCATGTTATATTTGGATATCATGTGATCATCCAATTTATGTTTTGAACCTTTTAAATAAGCTTTGGGCCATCGATTTGGACTCATTTGGGTTCATATTGAACCCGATTTTGATGTCGTTGGGTTCGTCTCTTCAAGACATTCAATTTGACCATAAGTTTGCTTAAATTGGAGTTAATATGATCCCAAATTTAATTTTAAAAATTTCCAACTTCAATATTCCTCGAGATTTGTGCACGATCAAGATAATTTTTTGTGATGCATCACATATAATATAATTTGTATGTATTTATATATCCAATATTTAAAACTTTACATTTATTTATTTAATATCCTAATCTTTAAATCCTTTAACAAACACCCTCAATATTAATTTATTTAAAATGAAATACAGATTTTCATCATGTATTTTGATGCAATTTATATATTATGATTTTACATAAATAAATAGAAATATTTAGATCCTTTGTATCTAAATATATAAAAAATTGTAGTATGTATGTAAATTAATCCCTCTTAAAATTATTCAATCTATCATCAATGGATATCATGGATCAAAATTTGCATAGCCAAAGCCAATAATAAAAGATTTAAATTCTCTTTTGTAAGGAACTGTCAGCATTCTGAATAATTTCAACGCAATCATAGAGAGGGTTAACAACTTGAACCCCCCCATGTTGCATTCAATTTAAGTAGCATCGGATGAAATAATACAGCTACAGTAATGTGGTTGGTTGGGCCCCTTTGTGGCGAGTGGGTATCACGTAGCAATCACCATGCAATTATTTCTATTTATTAGAACTTATCTTAAACTCTAATAGAAATTATTATGTGCGGAGTCCAAATGAAAAGGATTGTTCAGATATATGAGCGTGCATGTAATGTGGATTATATATATATATACAAATATGATACACATTATGTATATAATATATGTACACCCACAATGTAAAAGATTCATCTCTTAGGGCATCTCCAACCGAGAACTCTATTTTTCACGGCAAAATAATGCAAAATTCCAAAATGCCGTGCGGCTGCTCCAATCGAACACCATTTTAGGTGTTTTTGGGAAGGTAACGTTCGTTCTCCTTTCGCACGTTTTTCCGGTTGAGAGCTGAAAATGGCGTGGGTGAACAGTGCGACGCCAATATTGACGTCGCACTGTTCACCTGCAAATATATGACGAAAAACTTTGCGTTCGGTTGGAGCAACCGAACGATGCCATATACTCGTTTGGCGTTCGGTTGGAGATAACCTTAACCTACATACACCTTCATTATTTCGATTATGATGTTCTGATTTCAGAGTTCTGAGTGCTAACAATTAATTATTAATTTTGCATATTCTTTTTCACATAAATAAAAAAATAAAAAAGCGGCGGCATTCGCCATTTCCCAAAAAAAGAGAGGTAGCACACCGAGGGGGCAGTTCTGTAATATGATAATATCTTATATTTTGAAGGTTTATATTATAGAATGATATTTTAAATGTATTGATTAAGAAGCTATTAAAATATATTTTTCATATTTCCTCTTTCTATATAGGGATTTTTATGTACATATCACTTAAAACTAATAAAAATACATATTCAACACCTAAAATATCATATTTACTTATAAACCACCTAATTCTCACTCTAAACATTTGAGATAGCACTCCGTGAGGTTCCCTCAAAACCCCTCTCCCCGACATCTAGACCCGCTCGATTTTCCCACATGAAAGCTTCGGCGAAGCTTCATCGCCTCTTCTTCACTCGAGTAGATATGACTCCCGGCTCTCCTTTGTCGCCTCTTCTACGCTCAAGCACGATTCACTTCGCGTGCCCTAGGTAAAAATGCGGTGAAATTTCTATTAGCTAGTGGCCGCCATGCTTGCTTTGTGCCGACTGTTAACCGAAATTCTATTACACGGCTAACATAGGAATCCTGCCAAATGGAAGCCTCCAAAACCACCTACAAATTAAGCAATGCTTAGCAAATCTTGGACTTTTTTTTCACCAAGGCTTACTGATTTTGATTCATGTTAATCATTTTTTTAACTCATTTATTATTTCCATACATAAAAATGAGTTAAGTAATTTTTGCTTCATCGTCCTGAAATTCGGTGGATATTGGAGTGAGGTGCAAGGTCAAACTCGAATGAAGTATATGAGTGGAAGTCAGGAAATCTTAAAGCTTCGAAGAGATGAAATCAGTTTGATATTGCTAAAAGAACGAGTTGAAGCACTTTGTCATTGGCTACAAGGACAACCATTCGACTTACACTATCATGTCATTGTAACTTCACATAAGAATTACATGTTAGTTTCAAGCGACTCAGATTTAGTTGACATGTTGAGTAGTCCTATGAAAGGAATAAATTTGAGATAGCGGGTGCAATGAAACATCATGAGGTAGATATGTCCCAATCACAGAACATTCAAACAGAAATAAACAACCAGTCAAATGAAATGTATCAGTTCAGCTCGAATATTGGAGACTATAATGATATTGTAGTAGATGATTTGTGTGAAGATTTTTTTATGCCCAATTTGATGAAGCAAATAGCCTATTTGTTGGTTCGCGGTTTGAGGATTCCCAAAGTTTCAAGCAAGTAGTTAGGTGTGCTGCAATTTTAAAGAATCATGCTATAAACGTAAAGGCTAGTGAGAAATTCAGAGTAATTATTACTTGCGCGTATAGAGGTTGTCCTTGGAGAATACGTGCTTCATTGTGTCCTGATGGGCACTCCTTCGAAGTCAGGAAAATTGAATCAACTCATTTATGCCCTGAGGTCAATAGAGCAAGAAACAAGCAAGTGATATCAATTAGCAGAACTTGAGAGCATTCCCTTCATTAGCAACATATCAATTAACAAAAATTGAGAGC